TTTCGACTTTTTTCGACTTTTCGACTTTTTTCGACTTTTCTACTTTTTTCGACTTTTTCCGACTTTTCGACTTTTTCCGACTATTCGACTTTTTGATTTTTTACGACTTTTTGACTATTTTCGATTTATTTCGACTTTTTTTCGACTATTTTCGACTAGTTTTTTACTTTTTTCGAGTTTTTCCGACTATTTTAGAGTTTTTGACCTCTTTTCCACTTTTTTAAAATTTTCGACTCTTTTCGACTTTTCAACTTTTTTCGACTTTTCAACTTTTTTCGACTTTTCGACTTTTTCCGACTTTTCGACTTTTTTCGACTTATCGACTTTTTTCGACTTTTCAACTTTTTTCGACTTTTCGACTTTTTTCTACTTTCCGATTTTTTGACTTTTCGACTTTTATTTACAAAGTCGACTTTTCGACTTTTTTCATATACGATAGTCGAGTTATCGACTTTTTTGAAACAAAATAGTCGACTTCGACTTTTCGACTTTTTTCGACAAAAAGTCGATTGTTCGATTATTCGAAAGTCGATTTATAGAACCCTAGTTAAAATATAAAAGGAAAAAATTTGGTTTGTATACTGTAGCCGACTGGCAGCCACCGAACGGCTGTTATTGTTTATGCTTTTAAACAATTTCTTATATGCCAAGAAATATTTTATAATTTTTATAAAAATTTTTTTACTTGTTTTTGGCATTTTTATTGAAAATATTTGTAATTTTTATAATTGAATTTTTCTTTTCTCAGCTGACTCAAATTTTAAATAGAACACTAACTTATGAGGGTTGCTCACAGCAGTCATAATTTTTCGTGTGATTCTTTTATGATATATGACTTTATTACGACCGTGTAATCATGTAATCTTCACAGTGATATTTTAAATAAAACTTATTTTATTAATTATTGAATTGAAGTCTATATTCACTATTTTCACAGTCTGTTCCTGTATGACTGGAAGGAAAAAAGGCTACTGCTTATGTTGAAATTTCAAGTGGGCTGGTTGCCACGCCTACTTACTAAATAACTATTAAAAGTCGTATATCTTGGAAACTGGTGCAATTAGAGTCCGCAAATTTTGCACGGACAACTTTGACATCTATAAGAATATTTTTGGACAAAATGGGCGGAATGGCTATAGTGGGCGTTGCACATTCCATATTAAGAAAATATCAAATCAGTATATCTCAGAAAATAAAACAGAATCCTCAAATTTTGTCGGAGCCCATTAAGTCTCAATATGATTATTTAGGATAAAAAGTGGGCGCACTAGCAGCAGGGGGCGTGGCACCTCCCATATTAATTAAATGCAAAAATTCGTTTATCTTGGATTAGAGTTAAAATATTAAGCAGAAATTTGTCACCGATTATGGCCAATAGGCTAGGTTTATTTGGAAATAAATTAAATTAAAAAAATCTTCAAATTTTGCACGAAGAACTTTAACATACATCTAAACATTTTGGGTGATAAATTGGCAGACTACCAATGGGAGGAGCGGCACCTCCCATATGAATTAAATCCAAAAAAAAATTATCTGGGAAACTAATAGAACTATATTCTTAAAATTTTGCACTAAAGACTTTCATATTCATATGAAAATTTTGGGAAAAAAGCGGACTTTCATGGGGGGGGGGGGAGCTTGGAACCCCTTATAAATTAAATAGAAAAAATTGTATATCTGTGATACTATAGAAGCTATATTCTTCAGATTTTACATGAAGAACTTTGACATTCATGTGAACATTTAGAGAAAAATGGGGGATTTGCCCCTCACATATGAATTAAATACAATACAATATTATTCACATTTTTCATAGCTTAAATTAAAATCCTTATCAGCGTTCGGAAAAATTGGCGAACTTGCAATAATTTGCTTAAAAACTTCTATTTTTTAGCGTTCGAACACCCTGTTTTTTTTGCAATTATCTTGGAAATTAAAAATTGCTCAAAATCAAACTTAGCACCTATTATAGGGCTAATTAAAAGCTATAAGTAACGACTATTGCCAAAATAAAAATTACTTTTATTTTGACATTTTTATCTCTTTAAATGTGTTTGAATGTCGAGTTCGACATTTTAGAATGCCCATATATTAAATTCCTTTGCGAGATATGTACAATGTACATATTTATATAAAAACAAATTTAGAAAACCTTAAGGATAGTTTTATCCAGCCCAAAATACTCATGTTTTTGTTGGATATTTAAAAATCTTGAACATTTTCCAAAATCTCCAGCTTTCATTAAGCTAGTTAATTTTTACATTTGGTTTAATAGCAAATCTGTAAAAGATTAAATGTTGTTTAGTAAAAACATATAAAAATCTCTTATAAGAGTTGTGTTAATAAAAAAACCAATTTAACATTTATACATGATCTCAATGCGTAATAAACTTTATTTTTTATGTAAATGAAACTGATATTGGGAAATAATGTGAATGTCATGTGTATTCATCCACCCGTATGTTTCGGCATCAATATCAAATAACATTTGACTGGAATTTCTTTCGGTTTAATAACTTGTTTCCTTACATTTGTTAAGTCGCAGCAAAATAGTATGGGAACTCGTAACAATGTTGCTTGTAGATGTAATAAATATAAAACCATACTAATATTATATATTACTATGTAGTCAGGATTATAAAAAATTTTGATTGAAAATCATCAGTTGGTACACAACAATTTTATCGGCATAAAAAGGATTTTTATGTGGCATCTGCAGTAGATTGTTTTTTGTTTGTCTACATACCATATTATCTTTAAAATGAAATACAACTCAAACAAAAACACAAAACCTGATTGCTATTTGTAAGTTACTTAGGCAAATGATAAATATTACTGTGAAAACATTTTCATTTCCTAAAAACATTTTCTAACAATTTAGTTAAGCATAAGTACAAAAAAACATTAAATACACTTGCCCAAATAATTGTAGGTCAACTTAAATGTGTAAATAATTGTTAGGCACTTACTTATGCCTCTGCTTCTGCTTTCTCTACAGACTTATTGTAATTAAAGTAACATTTTCTTTTTTGAGTTAAATCCTTATACTCCTTTACTAACTCTCTGAACCATATTATATAAATAACATTGTATACTTGTACTAATGTCATTTGCTAATTACTGAAGTTTTTCTTATTTGTATTATTTTATTTTACTTCTTTTGCGGCAACTCTGTTTTAATTAATTTTTCCTGTTTTGATTAAATAAGTGAAACTAAATGACAAAGTATGTATTTTCTTTTTGTTCTATTTTACACTTAAGTAAATCAACACTGTAATTACGTAGACAATGTTTATAATGTACTTGGTAATGAAACAGAATATTAAAGAACTGGGAAAATTATTATTTTTTTTTTCGTGCAAATAAATTTATACAAATGCATTTTTATATGCTACGTACACTACTATAGTGTGAATGGTATTAGAGCCTTGGAGCTTATGTATGATTAAAATCGGAGTCTACATAGTATCCGTACAAAAACGGTCTAAAAATATGAATGTATGTAATTTCATTTTTCATTTCCAGCTTAATAGTGTAGCAGTGAAATGTAACCATGAATCCGTATATTCATTCCATTATGACACCCACCAACCATATGTTGCAAGACCAATAAAAAAAAGGGGGAAAAAACAAAACAGACAAGTAAGAGTGTTATATTCGGCTATGCCGAATCTTATATACCCACCAAATTGAATGAATGCCGTAAATGAAATGCTCCTCTGTAACCATCAGGGAGATTTTATGGGGAATACAACGATGAAGTACTCGTAATTTTCTCATAGCGGCTTTATATATGAGGAGAACGTTCAATTATGGAAAGATGTCCTTATAACCTTATATGGGGATAGACACCATTATGGACCGATCCACTTCAAATTTGGAAGGGATATTTTGGCTCATATAAAAAAGTTATTTATGTTGAATTTCATCGCGATACTCGTATTTTAAGCCGGTAATTTTCTGAAGGGGACTTTATATGGGGGATAGGGGAAGTTACCATTCCGCATGAAATTCGTTTTTTGGGGGGCCACTTGTATGGGGGATATGCGAAATCGTGGACCAATATTGCCGATTTGCAATACCAAACAAACATTACCTATAAGGAATATTTGTGGACATTTTCAACTCTCTAGCTCTTTCCGTTCGGAATCTATCATGCTTTCAACAGACAGACTGACAGACATGGCTAGATCGTCTTAGAATTTAATAAGTATTAGAATATATATACTTTTGTGATTCAACGACCAATATTTCGATGTGTTACAAACGGGGTGACAAAATCAATATACCCCCATTTTTTTGATGGTGGGTATAAAAAGGAAAAATTTAAACTATCCAAAAGAAAACTCTGGAATGTCATAAAATGTTTCTTGAATGGCTCCCGCATCACTTTTAAATCCAGTTCTTAATTAAGTAGAATTTTTTTTGATTGGATATTTAATTATTTAATTTATTTTTTTTTTAGAAACAATCGAATACAAAATACCATTTGAACACTACTAAAGTAATGGGTAAAGCACCATTACAGAAACCCTTAATTTTAACGTAATTATTTTTATTTACAATTTCGTTTCATTCGGATCAGAGAAACAAATTTCTTATTTATATATATGTTAAGTTATTTCATTAAAATTTAAACAAAATTTGTACTTTTCGTAAAAATGTTAATTTCTTTCGGAATAAAATCAGTTGGAGATTTAAAAGTGTAATTACATAATTAAGAAACCAATAAAAACTTATATTGAAAAGTAATGAGTCAAAAAAAGCTATAAAAAGAACTTAACTACTTCCTCAGAGGTAGTTGATTAACGAAAATACGAACACATTTCTCTTAAATATTTTCTTCATTTTTATGCGCTTTAATATTTATTGATAGATTTTTTCAAAGAAAAGTTTATTAAATACATACATATAATAATGTAATAATAATATACTCCATTTTCCCCCTTTATCATTGATTTTTTTTTTTTTTTTTGTTTTCGTTTTCGTTTTTCTTACAGTTTTTTATATTTCGTGTTGCACGTGGTCCTTTTATTGAAGAATTTTATCAATGTGTAACACATGGATTTTATACGGCTGAATGGCAGGAGCAGCTTTATGCCACATTCACATTAGTTTTCACATTCCTTTTGCCATTGTGTATACTATTTGGAACGTATATGTCAACATTTCGCACCATTTCAAGTAAGTAAAAACTAACTTTTATCTATGATTTTTTCTTAAAGAAAACTTTTTTTTGCACTTAATGCGTGTAGTTTTAAAAACTTAATAAAAAATTGTGTGTTAAATGTTAAGAACAATATACATATGTATACATACATAAATATGTATGTATGCATGCTTTCAGACCAGATTTTAATTCTAAATTTGTATATATTTTTCCATGTCTCAATGGTTTATTAAAGAAATGTTCCAGTTTAAAAACAATTTGATTTAACTTAAACAAAGATTTGTTCACAAAAATAAACTTTAGTTTATAAGTAATCGGAGTAGAAAATCATTATTTACTTTGATTTACTCAGAATTACTAAAAATAGTGGTTACATAAAATACACTGTAAAATACTTAATGAGTTTGAATGAGCACAGCTTTTGAACATTTAGAATATTACCAATAATTTTCACAACTAGTCTTATAGTCTTATAAAATGCTTTTAAAACTCTGTTACCACGATTTCTACAACTAATCTAGAAAAAAAATAAAATTTCTGTCATCAAAAGCAATAGAAGTATTTTAAATTATTCTGTCAATGATGTATGGATGAAAAAAATTATATACTTAAATGTGTATTGTTAAGTTTCAGTTTCTACTAAGTTAATCCACCTACGTGAAGAAAACAATAGATTTTCCATTAACTCCTACTACATCCGGAAGATGCCATTGACAGCAGTTAATCACAGATGCGTTGTTTAGGTTTTAAGATGAAAGCCATTAATAATAGAATTTAGCTTTAAACCCCTTTTCATACTTATTCCATTTAATTTTGATAAAATATGATTGTTACACACTTTAAAGGATATTCTCAGAGAAAGCTTAAACTTTGTGTGATTCGTTAGTTCTTATTTATAGAAAACATTCAATAAATCGTTATTTCAGAAACTTATCAGACGCACGCAAATGCTTTAAGTTGTTAGTATATTAAACTAAGAAAAAAAACTTGAAATTTAAATTTAAAAACCAGAGTCTAAAAAAATATTATTAAACTTGCTGATAAATTTCCTATAGAATCTGCATAATGCAAAACTAAAACAGCAAACAAATAATATGTATTTAAAACCTGTCATAAAAAGCTAATTTTTAAATATACTATTTCTTTCCAAAATGCATAAAATAAAAAACAAATATTAATAAGCATACGTTATCAAGATGTAAACCCTTATCCTAATATTCTGACAGAACTTTTACCTAATAAAAAGCATTTAAACGTTTTTTACAGGTAACTGCATTAAAAGTGCTGATGTTCTTTCTCAGAGTTATAAAAGATAAACATCAGGAGTCACATTGTTGTCTCCCTTAAATTCTATAATACCCTTCCAAGTGGATAGTTTTTCAAACCTTAATATTTATTTACTTATTTGTATGTTAATGTCTTTTTATCTAAATAGAATTTTTTTATATCTCCAACCCATGTTACAGTTGCCAAAAACAGTATCAGCAACAAACAACATTTTTTATATTTAATTTACAATCTGTTTTTGTTGTTTGTTTTATTTCTATTGTTTAATGCTTTTTCATTTATTTATTTATCTTTACAGACAGTGAAAAAATGTTTCAAGGTTCAAAACTAGCTGGTTACACGAACAAACCAACTAGTCAAACGAATCGTCAGAGACTTATACATAAAGCCAAAATGAAATCTCTACGTATTTCCGTAGTAATCATTTTTGCTTTCCTCATCTGTTGGACACCTTACAATGTCATGATGTTGATTTTTATGTTCTGGAATCCAGATAAAAGAGTAAGTAAAGTAATCTGCTTAAATGTTGAAACGTTGCAAATTTTTCTATTCTTAAAAAAAATTAAATAAACAAAAAAGTATAAATATCAGGCATCCTTTTCCTTTGATTTTTTTTTTATTTTTTCATTTTGCCTATTCTTATTTGTGGTTGTTCTATTTTATTTGCTTTCCTATTATACATATTTTCTATGTATCTAAGTATCTGTGTGTCTGCAGTGTGAGATAGTAGGAGTTGTAAAAGTATATTATAGTGTGAGTTATAATCCTATAAAATGTTTGTTTATAGTATTAATAAAATCTTATTACAATATTTAAGATATAAAAGTATATGCCGTTTATACCTTCACCGTATTTATTTATAGTGCGAAGAAGTTAAGAAATTAAAGTAATTGAATAAATCTTCGTAAAGAACTGAACAACTAAATAAGATTTCCTCCTTCCTGGCTTTCATTTACGACCATAAAATACATTTTAATTAATTGTTGTGTCATTACTAAGACATATAGTGGTAAAATATCTAATTTAAAGGTAAATAAACGGACGAATAGAGTTATTCACACCCTTCTCAACCACTCAGCTGTTCGTTTAGCCAGTCACATATACCGGATACAAAATATAAGTAAAAATGATTGTGGTTTTTTTAAATGTAGAATGTAATCTTAATTTTAATACCCTATAGTTACATTTTAGGATTATTATGTAATGGCAACAAAAGAATGTTCTAGTAAAAAAAATGATAATTAACACAGCGAATGAGTGAGCTAGATCATCAAAACTATACAAAATTTGTAAGTTGTAAATTTGTTTAAAGATATCATTACATTTAATATAATGATTTCTTTAAACTTACGGTCTATTGTGTTTGAAGTAGTAATTATAATAGAAAACACATTTTAGACATTCGTGAATATGGCAGATTTAATAAATAAATAAATATAAATATATATATTGTAAAACAATACATTTGAGGTGCCTAGTATGACCCTTGTGTAATGTTTGTTAAATACGAAAATAAACTTTTAACAAGTGTCGGCTGGCCACAGATTAATGCAATATATCAAGTGTAATAGGATTATTATATAAAACTCAAATTATACCATAAATTTGAAATATATGTACATATGTACATACATACATAACGCTTTTCTACAAGACTGATAAAAACAAAATTTCGAAAAATAGCTTCGAAGCTTATTTCTTAAATTTTAAAGAAATCATCGTGTTTGAAACATAAAACTGATCGAATAAGCATCCGTATTGAAAACACATAGACTATAGACTAGACTATAGTCTAGACTATAGACTAGACTATAGACTAGACTATAGACTAGACTATAGACTAGACTATAGACTAGACTATAGACTAGACTATAGACTAGACTATAGACTAGACTATAGACTAGACTATAGACTAGACTATAGACTAGACTATAGACTAGACTATAGACTAGACTATAGACTAGACTATAGACTAGACTATAGACTAGACTATAGACTAGACTATAGACTAGACTATAGACTAGACTATAGACTAGACTATAGACTAGACTATAGACTTGACTATAGACTAGACTATAGACTAGACTATAGACTAGACTATAGACTAGACTATAGACTAGACTATAGACTAGACTATAGACTAGACTATAGACTAGACTATAGACTAGACTATTGACTAGACTATTGACTAGGCAACTCGCCAATTTACTGTGCTGTATTTAAATATAGTAGTCTCTTTACCGAGAGGGGAAACTTTTGAAACTTGTTTTACTGTCTCCACAGAGTCAATTGACTTCCTCCTAGGACATGTTCATACTCTATAATGGACTTTATAATTTTTTAAATTTTTTAATACTCAATTACATTAAACTTAATATTGAGTTAACACATTTTGTACTAAATGTAATTAATTATATATATATAAATAACAATTAAAGTAGATTGCTAGACGTAAAGATGAATATTATTGAATTATATAAGAAAATATGGCAAATTTAATTTTTAATTTAAAAGTTTTTTAAAATTCACATATTTCTTGAATGTGTTAAAGATATTAACAAAAACACATCTAATTTTGATAAATTGTTTCTAAGTCATAAATTGAGGATACTGCTATGATATGTACATACATACATATTTAGTATATTTATGAAAAATGTATCTAGTATCCCAGCAAAAAATAATTGATGTCATACTTTACAAACGACATCTTAATCAAATCTAAAAATGCGATTACATATTTTATAAACCAGACATATCCTTACAAATGAAAACATAGTTAAAAATGAGGAAAGAGAAGTAGAAAAGTCACTACAAACAACATATTCGAAATACTTCAAATTTTGATGAAAAACCAATGAAATTTACATTAGCGTGTTATTGAAAGAATGTGGTTTATTTTTACAAATATCGGATTTTTACAGCTTCTAATGGTAAGATTAGATGCAGTTCAAAGTTGTCAAAAATGAACAACATCCCTCCAATGACACGCTAATGTAAAATTCATAAGTTTTTCACCTGAATTTAAAGCACTTCGGGTTACTAGTTGTGATGAAAAATTCTACATCTTTTTCCACATTTTTTTTTTTTTTTTTGCTGAAATATTTGTGAAATATATTTTTGTATATAAATTAATTTTATTAAGTTTTAATAAAAATTTCTTTTGTTAATTAATAAATGTGTGCATGTGTGTTTATAACTTAATATTCATATTATTCTTGTTAATATTCTGTCTATCGCTGTTAAAAGTGCAAAAGGCAATAACAGTAAAAATCTGAAAATTACTAAAGTAGTGCATGAAAATCCTGTTAAGGTTTTTTGCACTTGAATACACGATATTCATATTCCTAGTAAGATTTCAAATATACAGATACCAATATTTTTTGTATAAAATATATTAATTTTATGTCTATTCATTTTTCTTTTTCTGTCTTTCTCTTCCTTTTACAGTTTGGTGAAGATTTACAATCGGCCATATTCTTTTTTGGAATGTCCAATAGCTTAGTAAATCCGCTTATTTATGGTGCTTTTCATCTGTGCCCCATGAAGAGGAAGACTAGCAAAAAAAGCAACAACAACAATGGAACATACAGTTTAAATAGGTTTGTACTAACTCGTAGCACACTTGAATATAAATTAGTTTGATTTTATTTTTCTATTTTAATCATCGGAAGTTACAAGGAAAAAGCAGATTTCAAAAATAGAAAAGAAAATAATTAGAAAATCTAAATAAAGACAAAATTAGTTGAAGGTAAATGTAGGAGTTGGTTTAGATAAATGTTTGAAAACTATTTGATTGGCTTCTTTCCATTCTCATGAGCGAATTCGTCTTCATTACTAGTTATGTTTTTCGTGTTGCTCCAAAATATTGATTTATTGTGGTTATTTTAAATATATAGTATTCTATACAGAAATGATTAATTCGAGAAAATTTCATATTTTAAGCACGAAAGCCTTTCTAACAAAAAATTATATTGGTAAATATTAATCAAAATTTTTTTTGTGATTGTATATCTTTTTTACTTTTTGCTGTTATGTGCTAGATACTTACAATTGCTAAATCACTGTTTTTTTAACTAAATTTTAAAATATTTAATTGGATGTTAACAAATTAAATTTAAAAGAATTTTACCAATAAGAATCAATGATGAATCAATAAAGTGCTTTAAACGCAATTGAACAGATTAATCATTAAGAGTCCCTTCTGAGCTAAATTTATTTCGAAAACGAATAATTCAAAGCAATTTGTAATATGTTAATATTTTGAGAAAAAATGTATGTACCTATATATATCATACATATATCATTTTTTGTAACTGTATTGTCTTCTATTTCTCCAACTTTACATATTTTTCTTTGTCTGTTCTGTATCTTTTGCATTTGTTCCTATTATTTTTTTTTTGTCTTCTTGTTCGGCCGTATTAAAACTACAAGATATACTTTCAGAGGTGATTCACAAAGGACACCCTCAATGCTGACAGCGGTTACACAAGTGGATGGCAATGGTCGTCAAGTTCGAACATTCAGACAGTCTAGCTATTATCGCAGCATTAGTACGGGCAGTGCATACAAAGAAAATATTGGATTACTGCAAACAACAGGACCATCATTGTCGGCAACAGCAATAAATGTGCCAGCAACAACACCGTCATTAATAAGAAAATCAGCATCAATGAAAAGTCCTCATCCCAATCAAAGGGCATTGGTAACATCTTGTCCGGGCAATGGAGGGCCTGGTGGCAGCAGCTTACACAAGCACAATTATAATCATCGTAAGGCAATATCAGCTGCAGCCACTCAACAATATCATAATCATTCAACGGAAATCATACAGAATGATAATTCTGTGAGTAGTTGTAGTAGTGTGGGTCGCAGTGATGACAGTAGCGATATAGCATGTTTAAGCAATGGAGAAATTCGAGGAAATGGTGGAGGTAATGGTGTTGGAGCAGTATCTGTAGTTTTAAGTTATGATAACCAACGGGGTGGTGTGGCAAGTATGAAGAATTTCTCTTCATCTCCCCTTAATGGTGGAGAAAATCGTAATTGTTTGTTAACGCAAACATCTGTGAATGCAATCGGTTTACAACCACTTTTGTCCGGTATGGACGATAATGTGTCGAGTGTATGAGACCTAAATTATGAAGGAAACTGGACAGTTTCATACTTATAAAATGTTCACAAAGAGACTGCTATTAAGTAAATATACTTTAGATTTTATACTAAAAGTGCAAAGCAAAATGTAATATAGTATAAAAAACTAACATGGTTGTTTCATTTAGGAAATTTTTTTGCAAAACTAATTACAAAATTTATTTATGCACTTTACTTCTCAAGAATTTGCCCTCCAAGACACAGAAATTATATTTAATGAAAAAACAAATAAATAAATAAATTCATTTAAAAGTGTACAATATATTTTGTTAAGGCTAGTGCTTTATGATTTTGTTATAAATATATATAAAAGGTTTTATTTAATTATTATTGTTGGTTTTTTATACATATGTAAATAAGATTATTAATGACAATATTTAATATTAAAATTTAAATGATATATTTAATAAATATGTATGTATATGTAAATATACGTTAATATAATAGAATTTAATTTTTAATAATGTAAAAAAGTGTAAATGATATAAAATATTTTAATTACAAGTCAAATTTTAAATAAAATATATGTAAACTATGTTACAAAATCAAGTACTTCTTCTTACTATAAAGATGTTGAAAAAATCAACTACCAACACTCCGAGAAGTCATTAAAGGTACTTTCAGACTACAGCAGTGAGTATTGATATTAATAAGGATTGTATCACAACACAATTTCCAAGTCTAAGCTTTATTTTTAGCCAAAATAAAGAATATAAAAAGGGCCATGATTGGAGAAAAAGGTAAAAAAAAAAATTGCAAAAAAGTTCGATATTGTTTAAACTTTTTTTAAATACTTTTTCCGAAAAAATTAAGAAATAGCTACTACCTAAACTATTTAGAACAATTTTTACTACGAATAATAGGTAATAAGTTACATACATAAGATGAAACACAACTTTTGCAAAAATATCAAACTTTTACCCACTGTAACTCAGAAAGTTCTTAATGGTTTTTGTGTCTAGACTACTTTCCAATAGGACTAACATTGATACAAATTTCATTCCGATCGGAAAACATCGGTTTTTATCTACCTTAAAGTGTATCAATCATTTCCTGAGTCAATTAGCTGTAAATTACCCAGCAAAAAAGTGAGGAAAAAGAAGACGAATTTTCACCACAAATAACATACTTGAAGTACTTCCAATTTTGGTGAAAAACCTATGAATTTTACATTAGCGTGTCGTTCATTTTTGGCAACTTCGAATTTTATTTTTTTTACATCTAATTTTATTTTTGGAAGCATTAAGAATCCGATATTTGGATTTTAAAAATAAACCAATATGGTTTAACGCGCTTATGTAAATTTCATTGGTTTTTCACCAAAATTTTATGTACTTCGAATATGTTATTTGTAGTGACTTTTCAACATCTCATTCCTCACTTTTAACTGGGTTTTAATTTTTAAGGAAATGTTTTGTTTATAAAAGCGAAAAATATGTAATCGCATTTTTAGATTTGATTAAGACGTCGTTTGTAAAGTATGACATCAATTATTTTTTGCTGGGTATGTTTAATTTACTCCTATCTTGACAAAAAGTGGGGCAACTAAGTTTCATACTCCTCTTGACGAACCTGTCATCGGGTCTCATTTGACCCTATGGGGTCAAAGCCCCCGTCAGAAAATTAATTAAATATCCATAATTGACGTAGAAAAGCTAATGCCGCAAAGACATTCATTATTAATACATTTTATATGAAAGTAAATCCATCTGCAAAATTTTATGGAGATCGTTTCATATTTTCCCCCAGACATATTTTCATATTTTCCCATCAATCAATTGATTAAATACATATGAATAATAAATCGCATTTAATCTCATAATTGGTGTAGGGTATCATATGGTCGGCCACATAGTACAACAATTTTTTACTTGTTAAGGGTCAGAAATTTCAGTTGCAGCAATAATTCTATAAGTAGGGAAGATTTTTCGTCCAAACAATTTTGGAACGCATTAAGTATAAAAAAATTAAAGCTGTACAATTAGTTGGAATCATTTCAATCATGTGCATGCACATGTAAGAATATTTAAGCCATACATAAATATTGTATTTTAAATTTTTTCTCTTCGATTTTATTCCAATAAAAGCTCTTCGCAATATGTATGTTGTTTTATAAATTGTTATAAAATAAACGAAAAGTTATTGCCAAAAAAAGTTTATACACATGTATGTATGTATTTATATGTGTTATATGTATAAAAATTTAAAATAAAAATAAACTTTAAATACACGCTCTTACATTATTGTATTGAAAACCTTGTGTAAAATAATATATAAAAACACTTTCATTCTTTTATTGAAAAACTTTTCATGAAAGTACATGAACCGTCGGATATAATTTTAAAAAGAGTAAAATTTGACTATTACATATTTATTTAAAAATACATAATGTAATTGCAACACAGACAATTTTATTTACACAAAATTAAGTCGTTAAATTGGAAACTTTTTTTTATAATATTGTTAAAACAAATTCAAAATGTTTAATATAAGTATTTTCGTTTATTTATTCTATTGATTTTTTCACTTTGTATAAATTATGATTTTGTTAAAGTGGTTAAAATTGAGTTTTCACAATTAGAAATCGATTTGAGAAAACTTATTTCAATCCACCCTAATTTGATTATATTTTACTATTCGATTAGGTTTAACTTTTTTAAACTTTGCTCCTTAGTGCATTTGCATTACTATATTTATAGAAAAAAAAATATAATTAAAAATGTACTTACAGGCCTCCCTTTTCCATTCTAAATAAAGTGCATTTAATAGTATTTAAAGTCGCAAAAATAGGAACAATAAATTTGTTTTACAACCAATGAATTACGAAATTAAATGATTTTTTGTTGTTGTTGTATATATGAAAGTGCTCGTTAATTTGATGCTAATGAAATGCATAGACTTACCTGCAAAAGAAAAAAAAAGAAAAAGTTCATTATAAATATTAAAGAAGAATAGAATAAAGCTAAACTGAATGCAAATAAAATAATATTAGACCAGTAAAATTATTCTATTAATCCCATGCGATATAATGCATTATACAAAAACCTTTTTTCTTTGTCGCCGCCCATTCGATTTCAGCATAATTAGGTCCCTTGTCAATCAATTAAATTTTTCTTCATTTTACGTTAATAATTGTGTAAATAATAGATAGAATATCAAACCTTTCACAGAATTTCATTTCGATCGAAAGTGGAATTATTCAGTATTTTGCGTCTTCAGAAAAAGTAAAATGACAACTTCGAATTTCTAAAGTGGAATTGAAATAAGGTTTGATTAATGATTTTTTAAGCTTTATTACAAATAATTCCAATTTCGGAATTGAATTCTATGATAGGCCTGTATGATTAATTAATCATATTAATGTATCAGTTTGTACTCATTGTTAGCTTCAGAGTTAAAAGAAGAAGAATAAATGTGGCAAGCACCTTAAGAATCCAATCCTATTGAGTTTCTAGATCTTCTAGTGGAACGCATGAGGATTATAATGTCAAAATTCGATTTAGATCCGCCGATCTGTTCTGAAGTTAAAACTCAAACTTACATATCGACTTACATATATTGTTTTAGTTTGCAGGCGTATATATGTCCTTAGTCTGCATAACACTTACAAACATTTTTAATTGAAGTAACTTCAATAATAATAATAATGCTCTACGAATGAGGATGCGGAAAAATGCAATTCTAAATATGAATAATTTTAGAATATTTATGAGCAATTAACAAAACTAATCGTTTATTTATAACATTATTACAAGAAATTCAATATTATGATATCAATTCATATCATAAATAAAATAGCATCAAATAGTAAGCATTTGTTTGTCGTAAATAAGTACATACAGTGTCTCTCATAAGTATTCGAATTTAATGTATTATGAAAACAGACATCATTTTATAATAGATTTTGCGGGAAAAATAAATAAATAAATTTATTATGTTGTCCAGACAGTCCTTAAATTTTATGCCACATTTTAAAAATTAAAAAAAAATAATTTACTTAAACTAATTTAACTTTTTTTTAAAAAAGTGCAAAAAATAGCTTCACAAAAGTATTCGAATTTTTTGTATAAATCATATTTAGATTAGCACTATGAAGTTAAAATAAATAATTAAAATAAAATTAATGTTTTGTATAGTAGCCTTTATTTTTAAAAACAACTTCCAAGCGTCGTGGGACCGTTTCTACCAATTTATGGAATAGTTCTGGCGTTATTATGTCCCATTCTTCATGCAAAGCAATCGTATGGTGGTTTTAGAGGATAATGAGTGATTTAAAAGTTGTTCTTGTAAATATAACCACAAATTTTCAATGGAGTTTAAGTCCAGACATTCACTCAATTGAAAATTTGGTGAAAGAAGATACTTAGTGTTGTAAATGATCAACATTTTCACGTACCAGGTCGTATATTTTGGATCGTTTTTCTGTTGAAAAATAAATTGAATGGGTTGTAGCCCCATTTTGGTGGTACAAGCATGCAAATTCTGCTCTAAAATTGACAAGTGGACCTTCTAGTCTATAATTACAATAATAAATTTTAGCAGTCCAACACCGTGGACGGACACAGAACCCCAAAATATGGCAGAGCAACTTGGGTCCTTTACAGTTGGTTTTAAGTTAGATAATTTCAAGGCATCTCCAAGCTTTCGCCATATCATTTGACGACCATCTGAGCCAAAAATATTATATTTGTTCTAATCGTCGAAGATAACCTCCTTCCAGAATCCAATATTCTTACTTATGAGTCTATTTGCGGAGTCAAGACACTTAACATCGATTAACTTCGATATGAGCAGTTTCACCTTGGTACTTGACCATGCAGATTATTGCTCAATAGTACTTTGCGCACAATTTCGACACTAATTTTTATTCACAGGACTGTCCTGAGTTCGTTGTTAATTTTTGTATCTGATAGATGAAGGTTCCTCAGTATTTCTCTGTCGTCCTGTATTGACAGCAGTTTTGGACGACTTGATAATGGCAAATACTCGATGGAATTCTTTGTTCCATGCGTGTAATGACAAAATATATTGTCGATGGGAATCTATCAAACATTTCCTATATGAATTTAATTGATCGGCCTTGATTATACAGATATAAATTAATTTTTTAATTTGAATTGATCAACTCTTTTTCTTTGAACATTTTAAGCGCTTACACAGGAAGGATTTACAACATAATTATGCAAATTTCCAAAAAATATAATGTTAAATATTCGATATAAACACTACCTGCATAATAGGTTAATTAATGGGCAATAAAACACGTGTTCAAGGATTCTAATAAAGTTCTTAGAAAAAATTCGAATATTTTTGCGCAGTACCTGAAATGACCCTTTTTGGGTTTTTTTCCATTTTCTTGGAAACCATTAATGAGTTTTTATTACTTTTTTCTTGTATTTTGTAAAAATAATATAAATTAATAAAATTTCATTAAAAAATTTTAAATACCATTATTATTTTTAAAGTAGCATCATAAAATAACACAGTAATTCATAAAAAATAATAAATTCGAATATTTATGTGAGACACTGTACATATGTATGTGGCAAAACACCATCACAATCGATAGATAATTTAATTTTATTGTTAATGGGTGTGAATATTTATGTAAATATGTATGTATTTTATTTTCATCCTGGTATTTGTATTAAGCATTTATTTTCCATCAACAACAATTGCTTAAAATATCTGTATATAACGGTCTATAATGAATTCTGAATACTCTTCTCTGGATTTCTGTTTTAGCAAAGAATTCTATTCCTTAAACTGCATCTCCATAAAAGTAAAACATTCTAAATTTTTTAATATTAAATTTTAAAGAACAGTATATTTCATTAAAAGGACGTTACATAGTAATTAATTAGACTAGTATGCCTAATTCCTTACAATACAGCTAGCTCCTCATATATGTACATATGTACGTGCATGTATAGAGAGTTGGGAATTGCAATAAATGATAAAGTGTTCATCGAAAAGGCAATGAACGAAACAAATAAAAGAATATAAATGAGTTGTAAAATGGAAATTTTTTCAATAAAATTTTCATGTGTTCATTTATTACAAAAGGAATGAACAATAGAAATGGAATTATGTTTCATTTCATTCTTTTTACAATCGAAAATTATTTACTAAATATTCTCGAACTTTCTTTACCATTTTGTACAAATAAAAATACGTATGTATGTGTATTCATATGTACTTATTATTTCAAAAGAATACTATGAATGTTGTTTGTTAGTGGCTAACACATTTTTGTAATTTTTATATTTTCATTATTTAAATTTAATTTTGCAATGTCGGCTGTTTATATTTATTTCAGTTTCATGATAAACATTTTTAACTCAATGTAAAGAAAAATTTAATACATTACTAGTACAGGTCAACGTATCGAAAATTATGGAGGAAGAGATGTCATTTCAATAATAATCAAAGAAAAAGTATTGTAGTGCACAGTGGGCAATAGTAAAGGAGTTTTGAATACACTGTTTCCGTGGGGACCACTCCGATTGGAAAAAAGTCTTTCGATGCTATTAGTAAATACACATCGCTCATTTAATATAATACATACCTACTGGCATAATCTAAAAAAAAGTTGTTTCTGGAAATATACATTCGAATGTTTATTGGCATTTTACTATTTTCAAGTCACATTTAAACCATTCTAGAGATTTGAAAAATTAACCAATATTCAGATAGTATAGGTTAATGTTTTTTGTATAAATTGAAAACTTATTTTTATACACCTAATATTCGTGAAAATAATAGATACATATGTATGATATGTCACCACATTCACCACATTCAAAAATATTAATAAATTTCATGAAAAACATACAGCGAAAAGTCAACATAATACAGGATAATTTGATGATAATAGAGTTCACTCCTTTTATTAATATAAAATTCGATACTAGTACTCATATGGTTAGTCACATGGCAAAAGAGACTGGTCTTGGTCGTCCTGCGAGAAAACCTCTTAGTTTTAGAAAGAATCGTTCTACTCGTCTACTCTTTGCCAAATATATGTAACATAGACTGGTTGAATCAATGTGAAATACTTTCCTTTTTAATTTAAACATTTATAAGACGTCCATAGAGGAAAGATACTGGACCCGAATTATTCCTGTATTTCATATTTGATCATATTATACGAAATCCAGATTTTATAATTGAATGGTTTTTATGCTTAAAATTGTTTTAAGGGGTTACTATCAACCGAAAAGATATATTTTTGGCCCATTTGGTCCACAATTTTGGGGGACTTGTACCATATTTTCAAGTTATATCATTAAAATGGCGATTTTTGTCAATATTTGTAACTTTTTCTCCTTTTTTCTAAAGATAAAACCAAAATTTGATATTGGTATTTAATAGACCACTTGGGGTATCTAAAAATAATATTTTTTGTTACAAGAATCTGTATTTTAACGTTCCAAGATATATTATTGGGATTATTCTTCTGTCGCTAGTTCAATTTATTGCAACTTAAGTCCATTTTTATAATACTAGGGTCAAACATTTTTGGGGAAAGTTGTCTTGTATATATTCTTTTAGATATCAGCTTTTAACATTTCAAGTTTTCAATATATTGTGGAAGTGTACAATCCCAAAACATGCCTTGAAGAAACTCCTTTCAATATAGTATAATCATTATTTTATAACCAATGGCTTCCAGGCTGCATATCACCATATCATTATGCCCTAGCTCGAAAATATTGATATCTGGTTATATATTATTTACGATGATCAAAACAAACCCAAAATTTTTGACTTACAGTGTTATTGTAATGGGCAACAAAAGAGGGAAGTTATGAGTAGTAAAACCTGAAATCCACTGTATAGGATGATGTTTTGTTAAAGCATATTTTGAAGTTGTATACCGATACAATGTCTTGGAAATTGAAAATATATTAGTGCTAATATCTACAAAAATATATACTAGCCAACTTTGTCGGAAAATATCGACCCTAGTGCTACGAAAAGGGACTTAAGATCCAGATAATTCAATTAGAAACAGAAGAACGATCCCAAGAATACATCTTCGAGCGATTAAGTACAGATCCTTTAACAAAAATTATTATTTTTAGGTACCTCAAGAGGTCTATTAAATCCCAATATTAAAATTTGGTTTTATTTCTGGAAAAGAAGGAAAAAAATTGCAAATATGGTCAAAAATCGCCATTTTGATGATATTACATGAAAAGATGGTACAAATGCCCCAATATTGGGGACCAAAAATACATTCCTTCGGTTGATAGAAACCCCTTAAAACAATTTTAAGCAAAAAAACATTCGATTCTAAGTTTTGGGTTTCGCATAATATGGTCAAATATGAAATATAGGGAAAATTCGAATACTTTTGTGAGATCATTTTATAGACTTTTTTAAAAAAAGTTAAATTAATTTATGTAAATGTAATTTTTCCAAATTTTAAAGAGTGTGATATTAAACCTTAGGACACTCTAGATAATATAACAAATTAATTTATTCTTTTTACACAAAAAAATATTATTAAATTAGGTTTCTTTTCGAAGTACACATAAATTCGAATACTTATGTGAGACACTGTACATGAGTAGATTTGGAGTCTATCTAATATAATCCCTACACATGGAGAATTTTTTGTACCAGTTCCCGTAGTCTTAATGAAGTATGTATAGCAATTATAAATAGTCCTAATGACAGTAAAATACGTGAAAATTTGAGTTAAATAATCTTCTGGGTTATAAGGATTCTTATATGTTTATTTTGAAAATTGGAACAATAGGAAGCAAGATAAAAATATTACCTTTTTAAATAATCCCTAAATTATAAGCATTAGGGGTACAACTAAATGTTGACCCTATCACTACACGACTTCAAATATTGTGTTATTTACAAAAAAATCTAATGCATCGAATCAAAAATCTTATGTGTTACATCCATTTTGTAAAATATGCGAAAAAAATATAAATTTTCGCTTTTTGTATTAAAATAGCGAAAATTTGATTAAAAAATGTAAATATGAGTTGATGCTGGAAAAATCCCAGAAGAAAGTTTTTTTCTCGGTCAAACGTCGTCCACCCAGTAAAGATGATATGAAGATAAAAATAAACTAGCAATTAAAATATATTGTTGTTATATTAATGAGTTCCTTACAAGCAACTCAATTTTGAATTGTCACCTTTCGATAATTAAAAGTACATACATTAAAACCCCAGTTTATTTTTTTGCCGTTCGGTCCATAATTCCTTGAGAAAATCTCTTGATCGTTAAACATTAATATACATAATTCGTTTAATAAAACCCTGAAGGAAACTGATGAATAAAAGTGTAAATGAATAATAAACAGATGGAAATCACTTTTTAACATGAAATATTTTTGGCAATTTAAAACAATTAACACCAAAGGGCTGAAAATTAAAAATTCCTATGGATTTTTTATAAATTCTAGAAGTTGTGAAAATGGATTGATAATAATAGATACAATCGCAATAGCAGTAATTTAATTTCAACTCGTTAAATATTGGAGTTTAGCTCTTTCATTTTAGTTTTTTACATTTTGATAAATAAAATAAACAAATATTTTTAAAGTGAAAATAAAAAATAATATAAAATTAATTTGCCTGGATATATTTTCCGGCCGCTTCATCGTGAACTAACAACCGCTTCTTTGCGCGCAGCATCTTGCAAAAGTTGTGTGTCCACTTCGTCACCCGGCAACTGAACGTAACGCACAACCGAACCGCGTATAAAACAATTTTTTACCGACAACATGTGCGGATATTTTTCCGGATCGGTTACACTAATATCAGTTAATTTTATGTTCAAATATTGGTCTACACTATGTAAAGTTCCACAAATACTGAAATACAGAAAAAGAAATTAAATAAAATCCAGACAGCCGGTATTTTTGCACACACACTTACCTTAAATCATTTTTTAATTCGACAACTACATCTTTGCCAACCAAAGATTTGAAAAACGAATAGAATAACTGAAACACAAAAACGATTTAATTATTATAAACATTTATGCTTTATTTACTTACCATTATTTTTAGTTTGTTTACAAATTGTGAAAAAGTAAACTTGTTACAAACGTTTTTAACAACCGCAAAAGATACTTTGACCGTCTCAACAGAGCCCTGCGTCGACAAATATTAACGGCGGTGGCGGCTGACACTAAATTCGATTGTAAGCCGGCTAAGTTCTCAAATACACTTAATTTTAAAATTTTCAAAGATTTTAAATAAAAACGGAATCCGAGAGACGTTTTAAGTAGGATTTTGTATATAATTTATAACAATAAAATAGAGCAAGCACAAAAGTTTTGTGAGAAATTATGCAGGGATGGAAAAAATTTAAAAAATTAAAAAAAAATTAAATTTGATTAATTCTTAAAAATTAAAAACAAATCCTTTCACCAAGTTTTATGATGATCGGCCTATATTTTCCCAGATATTTATTTTTGCCGCGTAGTGTAATCTATATAATAAAATTTTGAATAATCTAAATAACACTTTATTTTTTTTAACTTTAATTTGTAATACGCCAATAAAAGCGCCTCTCAAAGACCTTTCACATGATATCAAAATTAATTATCATACTTTTACGTGAAATATAAATAAAATAGTAAAAACTTTAAAAAAGTTCCTTTTTATTATTTGATCCAGATCACCAAACATTGGTCTAAGGATACACATTTTGGGAAATGGTATCTTATAATAATGAACCACGAGATAACAAAAGTTAATTTATTTTCAATAGCTATCGGCGGTAACATGGCAGACAGCAAATCCATTAGCATCAAGGCGAATTCAGATAAGTTGGTGTTATTCAATCAGCTGATTATTTTTTTTTTTCACTTGACTGGTACGCACAGATGTCAGAGTTTGTTATTGTTTACATTTTTATTTTTAAAAATATCCGTTAAATCAGAGAAAACTTCGTTAGTTGTTGAATAACCCAGCAAAAAAAGTGTGGAAAAAGATGTAGAATTTTCATCACAACTAGTAACCCGAAGTGCTTCAAATTCAGGTGAAAAACCTATGAATTTTACATTAGCATGTCATTGTACGGATGTTGTTCATTATTGACAACTTTAAACTCCATCTAATCTTATCTTTAGAAGCTGTAAAAATCGGATATTTGTATGTCAAAAATAAACCACATTCTTTCAATGAAACGCTTATGTAAATTTCATTGGTTTTTCATCAAAATTTGAAGTACTTCGAATATGTTGTTTGTAGTGACTTTTCTACATCTCTTTCCGGATTTTTAACTGTGTTTTCATTTGTAAGGATATGTTTGGTTAATAAAAGCGAAAAGTATGCAATCGCATTTTTAGATGTGATTAAGATGTCGTTTATAAAGTATGACATCAATTATTTTTTGCTGGGAATTTAGGTAAAAAATCTGAAAATGCCATGCATTATTTGAATAATTGGTACGCATGTACAAACTTAATATAATAATAATATTTTTTCTATTAAATGTTAACAAATTAAATAATATTGTTTTATATTTACACTTTGTAGTTAACGCGATTAACCAAAAATGGTAAATGGTATTTACCTGACCGGTGGCAGCCGTCTTCTTCGTTATGGTCAAATTTTCAAATCTAAAAAAAAAATTAATAAATTGTTTTATATTTACGCTGTGTATATAATGTGATTTGATTAACTGTTTATTTTTCCTAAAAATATTAATTTTACATAATTTTGGTCACAAACTTAAGTTTTGCAAAATTAATCTGCCAGAGTAGAATTTTTCATTTTCATACCCACTCAGGGTATATTATCTTCTCAAATGTTAATATTTTTATGTGTATTTTTTATATAATATAAAAATTTTACAAAATATGTTCATTAAATGAATTCGCCGCAATTATTGTTTTTGACATCAGTGCGTACCAAGATATATTAATTATAAGGTAGTGTTAACACTTTTAATTTTTTTTACATGTAGTTTGACAGCGTGCAGGCACTTTTAAGTGTAGGCATACTGTCAAACTCCATATATAAAAAATAAAATGAATTCGCTCTGTTTTTCTGAATTCGCCGACGACACTACCTTGTAATTAATATATCTTGAGTGCGTACCAAATGCAAAAACAAATTACATGTAAAATTTTGTTATTGCCCAAGATATATTAATTATAAGGTAGTGTTAACAGAGCAGCTGATTGTTTTTTGCTAATACACTTTTAATTTTTTTTACATGTAGTTTGACAGCGTGCAGGCACTTTTAAGTGTAGGCATACTGTCAAACTCCATATATAAAAAATAAAATGAATTCGCTCTGTTTTTCTGAATTCGCCGACGACACTACCTTGTAATTAATATATCTTGTTATTGCCGAACTGCCACATTTGAATTCGCCTTGGCTGTTAACTTAATAAAACATGAAGTTGGCTGCAGTTGAAATAAAAGCGAAAGTGCTGCCAGATTAAATAATTAATTATGGTACACCCTGTTTATCAATGACAAACTTTAGTTTCATAATTCGACCGCATATGCATTCGGTAATGCAGTTTATAATTAAATTTTAACCAAAACATTAAGAGAGTAAAAAAATCAACACAGTGTTGAATTCCCCAAGTTCGCCACGAGGATGTGGTGTACTTTTGGAACTAGTCAATACAACAACCATATCATACAAATCTCAGTATTTATTTTTCCCATTATTTTTATTGAGGCCCTCATTTTATAAAACGAAACTTTCGTTAACGTAAAAAATTTGTATGAAGAATACTGGGAAATTTTTGAAAATTTGAATTTTTTCCATAAAAATTTTTTTGAACGTTTGTCGTTTCGTTTTATAAATTGAGACCCTGAAAAATATTGATTCGCTTTACAATTTTTTATTCATTTTTTGAACGTTTGTCGTTTCGTTTTATAAAATGAGACCATTTTTTGTTTTTTGTACACAAAAATATTACCAGAAAAGTTTCTTACACGTTGTAAAAACTTTTTTCGATAAATAAAAATAATAAATGTTGACTTTTTTTTGAAAAAAAAAAAAATTATCAATAATTGGTGATCTGGGTAAAGGATAAAAAGGTTTTTTTGGATTATGCTAGGTTTGTAGTAAATGAGCAATATGTTGGTTGGTTAGTTATCGTGGTAGTTCACTACGCTGAAACAGTCAAGTATAGTCGAAGAGGCCCCGTTTTGACTGGATCACTCCACTCGTGAGATATCTCAAAATGTCATTAGCCTTAGACCAAGCCAGATATCTCACCAAGGTTGGATATGATGAAACTGTCAAGAAAACTGTTTCTCTTAACGGCTAGAGAAGGCATTCACAGATAAGATGGAAGACCTATTCACTGTTTTTGCAACTGCGGCAGTACGTCTCATTAAAACATGTGCCTAGGTTATTTAATCTATTTTCAGCCTTTTGAAGAAAGAATCTGAGGATACTGCTTTTTGATAAAACCTAGCGGAGTTGCTACTGAACTGTGTTGAAGATATCAAGAGCTGATCCCGTTTTGCCAAGCTAATCTGCCATATCATTTCATTAATAGTCCCTATGCGCAGGATCCAAACAAGGGCAATGTCGAGAAGAATGTCTATGTTGTCGCGAATATTGAGGTCATATATTGTACCCTACTGGTTGACATTATCGCAAAAATATTAGCCTGAAAAATACTACTGTTGTTGAGAAGACTGTGAGATATATGTTCCCCAGCTTCATTTTGGAACCATTCTGGTGGTATATTCGCTCGGTAGGTTACCCCTACACCACTCGCTTTTAGAATGAACTCTGACTTTGAAAACTCTATCAAAGTCCTTGTGTGGGTAATATTGTCAGATGGTTGAAAGTAGTAGGCTTAAAATCCGGATGAGTTAAGCCTCGCTGTGCAGATATGGTCATTATATGCAGATCTATATTTAGGATGTGCAATATAGAGCTTTTGAAGGACTACTTCTTAGACTAGTGTTATCCCAATGCATGCAAATTTCTTCTTAGTTGAAGTCTATCATACAAGAGATCCGTATATTAGAAAAGAACGAACTATAGCTGTATACATCCATTTTACTATGTTGGGACTAAGTCCCCATTTCATCCCAAACATCTTACGACAGATGTAATAGGTGACCGTTGTCTTCTTGACTCTGTAGTGGAGAGATTACGCCGCCCTGTGGTGTGCTCGTTTCGCTTGTTTGGACTTGACGCTGTTACCAAGATTTGCCGTAACTATTCTAGATTTCCACAGTTACTGATAAACTCTTCAACATCTGGATCAGCAAGAGCTTGTTGTATTGCAGAAGTATTTACATTATTAAGGCACCTTCTATGTCTAAGAAGGCTCCCATAGTACATTGTTTGAATTCGAGGGATATTTTTATAACTCTGACAACCTCATATAGAGCTGTCTCTGTAAATCGCCCTTGAAGGTAGGCATGTTGACCAGTTGAAAGTCGCGTTGAGCGGTCCAGTACTTGCTTAATATGTGAGTCATTGATTCTTTCCAGCATTTTGAGCTGAAAAAATGAAAGACTAATTGGACGAAAGTCTTTCGCATTCTCGTGACTTTTTTGCCAACTTTGGCATTAAAAGCGACCTTAACCTTTCTCCAACTGACCGGAACATAGTTGAGAGAGAGGCTGAGCGTGAATATTCTATGAAGCTAAGGGCAAAATACCATATCAATCGCCTAAGAGATCCTGTCATGGGAGATATTATTGATTCCCGATTGGGTCCTATATTCATATTCATTCATTCCGATTCATTCAATTGATTCAGTAGGATATCAAGAGACTCTGCAGACGATTCTGACCAAGTGTCGTCCTTAATTTTCATATAGGTTGGATTATACTGACCTTTAGCAAGAATTTCGCTAAGTCTAGCAAAAACTTCGCAAAAACTTCTGCATGAGGTTCTTCTTGCGACTGCTATAGCTTTCTTAAACTTAATTTATCACGATATGGCTGCCACGTTTTATTATTGTAACTTGTGTTAAAAACTCTACGTTAATTTAATTAATTTTTATTTAATTACTAAACATTAAAATGACATATTTAAACTTTATCAAACAACTTAGAAAATCCTAAGTAGCTCAAAATTGATAATTTAATAAATTCCTCATGATTTTTTAGGGAATTAGGGAATAAACTCATTAGGGACTTTAAATTAAAAAGACAATAAATAAAATAAAATCTGCTGAAACAGAAGTTTTAGCTGATAATTTTGTTAAAATGTACGCCCCTTTTAGTATAAATACCACAGTTATTCCAAATTGATGTTAGTTCGTTGTTGGATTTTGAAACGTTAACATTAGTGAATAAAAAATATTTTAAAAGTGAGTGAAGTGAAAAGAGATCAAAAACTAAATTCCCTATAAATGCTGGGTGTACACCCCCAAAAGGATTTTTATATAAAAAACTGGGAATAATTTTAGTACAAGATGTGTGAAAGGATTATATCCTTTATTGTATATGTTGCTATAGCTACATCCTTATGGCCAACTTATATCCTGTGTGAATATGACAATCAACCAAAAATACATCTCAAAAGTGGTGGTCTCATTTTGGAAGCGGCCTACGATCGCAATATAACTTTTCGTTTATCGCGCGATTCATCCCTCTTCCTGAACAAAGTGAATTTAATGGATAAAATACGCCAACGTTATACGCCTGCCATACCCGACATTGATGCCAAACTAACGGATACGTATTCCACAGATGATCTTAAAAGTGAAATTCAAAAGTTGCATGATGATTTAGAGCGTTTTGCCCATAGAGTAATGACATCGCAGAATCATACAAGACGTACGTTGCAATTGGGTGTGATTCGTAGAAATTTGGGGCGTATCAATAGATTGAATGGTAGATTGCTGGCGTTGGAGCGTAAGTTGAAAAAGGATGAATGTGCCGAAGCCACAGAACCTTGTAAGAATGGTGGAACGTGTTATGATTCCTACAATGGATTTCATTGTGAATGTACAGAAGGATATACGGTATGAATGAAAGATAAAGTTAATTTACAATTTTATAAAAATAAATAATAAACTAATTGAGGGGCGTATTAAAATAATATTTTATCAAAATTTCTCTTATCATTAGGGCAAAACTTGTGAAAAAGATGTGGATGAATGCTATTTGTTTGCTGGCACTGACTTGGGTTGTCAAAATAATGGTATCTGCATTAACACACCTGGCAGTTACAAGTGGGTTTGACCCTCATCCCCTAGTGTTTCTAATACCCAAAAATAATTACATTATATTTCTAGATGTAACTGTGCCAAAGAATTCAGTGGCAGCCATTGTCGATTACGAAATGTTGTTTGTCATCAGGAGCAATCACGCGAGCTGTGTTCTCATGGCACTTGTGTACCGGCCAACAACCAACAAGGTTATACATGTATCTGTGAACAAGGTTGGATACGAAATACCACTTCACTGTCATGTGATGTTGATGTAAATGAATGTGAAGGATTGAGCAATCCCTGCCATAGTCAGTGTATAAATCTACCGGGTAGTTTTAAGTGTGGTCCTTGTCCGGCTGGTTATACTGGAAATGGTATTACCTGTTTGGATATTAATGAATGTAGTACAAATAATGGTGGTTGCAGTTTGTTGCCTAAAGTTCGTTGCATTAATACAGAGGTGGGTGTTTTATTTTACCAACGAATCAATATTTTCAAACTATTATTCTTATAAAGGGATCATATTTCTGTGCAAGTTGTCCTCCCGGTTGGGTGGGAGATGGCCATACATGTGAGTTAGCTCCTTCTAATTCTTGTAATGATGAAAAAATCTGTCATCCTCAAGCCAAATGTGAATACATATCAGATGTTGCCTCCTGCACTTGTCCGCCAGGCATGTTTGGGCATGGGTTCGGACCACGAGGCTGTCATTCAAATCCTTTAACTGATTCATGCGAAAGTCATATATGTCAAGTGAGTTAAATTTCTTTACACTTTAAATAAATTAACTGAAATCTTTCAACATTTGTAGAACAATGGCACTTGTATATCGAATGGGCGAACTACATCATGTCTATGCCCCAAAGGATACTCTGGTGCTTTGTGCGAAACTGCCGATGGCTGTCATCCAAATCCTTGTCAGAATGATGGCACTTGCAAGCCTTTGGGTGTAAATGGATTTAAATGTTCCTGTCTACCAGGTACAACGGGTAAGCACTGTGAATTGATGCGCAGTATATGTGCAAAAACAATGCGGCTTCCTTCGGGAGAACTGAAATATCCTACCGGAGAAGAAACGGAGTATTCTAATAATGAACGATGTGCTTGGATTATACGTACTACGCCTACACACATACTGAATGTCACATTCACCAAATTTGATGTGGAGGGTAATGACGATTGCACACACGATTGGCTGCAAATACATGATGGCAATAGTTTGGCCTCTCAGCTAATAGGAAGATTTTGTGGAAACGATTTACCTTTAGGCGGTAATATTCTATCTTCACATCATCTCTTATTCTTCTGGTTTCGATCGGACAATGCCACCAATAGGCCGGGCTTTGAAATGTCTTGGGTTTCTCAGCCTCATGTGTGTGGCGAAAATTTAGAATTGGCCAGTAATGGTGCAGGAGTCATAAGATCCCCAGGTTATCCTGGAAAAACGCCTATAAATCGTGAATGTCAATGGGAACTTTCAGCTCCATATGGCTATCGTTTCGCTCTTAGAATATATGATGTTAATTTGGGTACCTTACCCAATTGTACCGGAGACTCCTTGAAGGTAGCAATTTTATACGGTTTACAAAACAAATCTCTAAAATCTTTCTTAACTTTTTATAGATCACTGATGCTGACTTATTGATCAAGCAATATTGCCAATCCTCCAAGTCAGAAGTTTTGCGTTCATCTTCCAATAAAATCTTACTTCATTTCCACACAGACCGCTTTAGTGCCGATAGTTCATTTCAATTACATTATGAAGTAGAACCGGGTATACCGCATTGCGGTGGCATATTTTCAGAGCCATTGGGTTATATAATTGGTCCTTCAGAACAGGCCACTTGCTTGTATCTAATACAACAACCCGTGGGTACCCAAATAAAGTGGGAATTTTTAGATTTAAAATCTTTTGAGATGATAAATTGTAATATAAACAGAATAGAGGTAATGGTAAAGAGTAATACCCCAACAATCCTACTTAATTAATATACCGTATTGTTTAAGATTTTCGATGGTAAAACTGATGAGGATGATAACCTGTTAGTGACTTGTGGTGGTATATTAACGGAACCGGTAGTTAGTAGCTCTAATCATATGTTGATAAGATACAAAAACTCACTAGATGTAAATAATCCATTCAGAGCAAAATATTCCAGAGGTACAGAAACTGTTTATAAACTATTCAACTTGAAATCATTTTTAAAATATTAACTATATTATTTAAAGTTTGTGAATTCCGAGTATTTGGTCCAGATGCAGGTGTATTAAATACACCTAATTATCCCAATCCTTATGTAGAGCATATTACATGTACTTTCCATATCTATGGTCCTGGTGATACTGTGGTGTTAGCCAATTTCACCGATTTCGCAATAGAAGAAACAAAAACAAATAATCTAATGGATACTGCAGATAATATAGTTGCTAACAACAGTATTACTGAAGTTAGCAAACTAAAGGATGATTCTATATCGTATGTGGATGTAAGTGTATTATTTGGGCTAAGAAAAAAGTTTGCCGTAATATATGTATATTTTTTTCAGGTCTATCTTTCTAGCACGAATAAACGTCGCTACCACAAAGGCTCACCCATGGTACTAAGATCTGAACGTAATGTAATGACCATCATATTCCATGCAACCACAAACAATGCAAAAGCTCGAGGACTACGAATTGAATACAGTTTCGAAACCATCACTTGTGGTGGAGTTTTTACTGAAAATAAGGGATCAATAGATAAAACTGTAAATGGCGACGAATGTTTGCTAATATTTGAAGCTCCCGAAGGAAAGCATATCAAACTAGATATGGAATATGCCGTTTATGGTGATAGTGGTGAACTGCTAATATATGCCAATGAAACGGCTGGAGGAGATATGCTTTTAAAGAAGTAAGTACAGCCGGTATTTTCAAAATCAAAGTATTATTGAGAAAATAATCGATTGCTAAATAATGATTTGCAAAATATAAAATATTTTATATATCTGTTAATGGTGTTTGTTTAAATTATTTTAATTTTAGTGTCACAAGGTCATCTAGAATACGTGAAACATTCAATTTTAATACCGTTACTCTTATAATGAAGCAACGTATGAGAATTTCAGGATCATACGAATTTGTCACCACAAAAGAAGGTGAGTAGCACAATTCATGTAAATTACATGCCAACAAATATATAGTATGTAACTGAACTTCATTTAGCTTGCGGTGGTAATTTTACTACATTATATGGCGCTGTCGTATCACCATCATGGCCCAGACCATACCATGCTAATCTTGACTGTGTGTGGGTTATAACTGCGCCTCTGGGAAACAAAATCGAGTTACAAGTACATAATTTTACTTTGGAGCCCACATGTTCAGGAGATATTTTAGAAATAAGGTAGGTGGTTTACAAAATCATATAATTTTTATAAAACCTATTGTTCATCATACATAAACCCTCTTAGGAATGGAAAATTCTCTACTTCCCCCTTAATAGGGCGCTACTGCGCCAGTCAAATGCCATCCCGCATAGCATCATTCACAAATAGTTTGTACATAAGATTTACTAGTGATAACTATATCGAAGGTGGGGGTTTTTATCTCAATTGGGAACAGACTTCAACAGGATGTGGAGGCAAGTTGACTGCATACAAAGGTTCCATACATCCTCCACACTTTGATGCTACTCCAGAAGTAATGACTATGGGCAATGTACACATGATTTGTGATTGGCAAATAGTTGTTTCCCAAGGATCTTCTATAGATCTAAGTGTAAAAACTTCCACAGACATGCTAGAGTTTTGTCGTAAAAACAATTTGAGAATTTATGATGGTGACTCCACCTTAAGTCCCCTGATTCAGTTTAACTGCACTAACATTTTACGGGGACAAACAATGGAACTGAAGTCTTCCACAAATCAACTATTAATTATTTATTCATTAACACAAAACTCAAAATATGAAACACCCGAATTTATACTGGACTATGTTACAAACTGTAAAGTTGTCATTGACAATTATCGTGGTGTAATTGAATCTCCCAATTTTCCTGAAAATTATCCCGAGAATCAGAAATGCGCATGGGATCTTAAAGCCGGTCGTAACAACAAATTCAAATTGGTATTCTCTCACCTTGATATGGAGGTTACAGATATGACATGCGAATATGATTATGTTGAAATTTGGGATATGAAGGACTTGGATATTTTAAAGAAATATCATTTATGCTCCTATACATCGGAACCCATAACATCGGAAGGTAATCATATGATGGTGCACTTCGTTTCTGACTATTCGAACAATAAAAATGGTTTCCGCCTGGAATACACTCGTGTAGGATGTGGGGAGCATTTAGAAAAAGAGTTTGGTTACATCACATCACCCAACTATCCTTACAGCAATGATTTGGATTGTGATTGGTATATTGAGGCTCCGCCGGGAAGGCAGATCTTTTTAAATGTGGTGGAGTTCCATATAGAGAGTGATAATCCAGATTGTAGCCAGAATATTTTATTATTCAAAGAATCTAAAAATTCTAGCATAGAACTTGGTAAAGAATGTTCTGAGCAACATACCGCTTTATCGATTACTTCTCCGGCCAATCGCCTATATGTACATTTTCGTACGAGTGCCACACGATCTCGGAAATACTTTAAAGCATTTTATCACACCAGAGCGGCCTCATGTGGTGGTTCGTTTAAAGGCATTTCTGGTACTATTAGTTCTTCAAATTACCCTTATTCACCCAACGCCCAGTCTTATCACTGTATTTGGGATATTACAGTACCCGAGTCTTATGGAATTCTTTTGGATTTTAAAGATTTTCAACTTAGTGATTCTCAAAATTGTACTGAGGCTTCAATGGAATTTTGGAAGTTATCTGGTACATCGGTACTATATCTCGACAAATTTTGTGGAGCAGAGAAGCCTAATATTAAGATTGTTCATGGCAATCATTTGAAAGTGGAATACAAAGATAGAGGTAAACAAAGTTTGGGAAGATTTGCAATCGAATATAAAAAACAATGCGGAGGTTTGTTAACTGAATCAACTGGTTACATAAAATCGACGGCCACAGAAGAATGCATATGGGAATTTGATGTAAAACAAGGTAATTATTAACATAAATAGTTATTATAATTAATATTAGAAGAAACCAACTTTCCATTTAAGGTACTTTAATAAGTCTAAATATAATACAATTAAATTGTTACTGTCGAAAGGATAATGAGGGTGTGAAAACATGTAAAAATGGCTTAGGGGTAAGTTTAGCTTTTAATTAAATTTTTTTTTTTAAATTTATATCTCCATAGATCAAAGAAAATCATTTTGATAACAATCTACAATCTGGAAATTATACCATGTTCATGTGTGAGGAACACCAGGCCGATCTAGTTTTTGAGGCATCAAAATTGCACATCTTTGCAAATAATATAAATTTCCGAGCGAAATATTCCACTACACAGCATTCATGTGGTGGTCATATAGAATCTGAGCGCGGTTCATTGGCATCCCCCTACTTTCCTTTGACATATCCACCAAATATTGAATGTATTTGGAGCCTGCAAGGTTCTAAAGGCAGTTTTCTGGAACTACAGTTCGATCAGTTTGATATTGCCAGCTCAGAACACTGCAATGAGGATTATTTGGAAATAAGAACGTGGTCGGAGAGCAAGATATTGGGGCTATATTGTGGGTCGGGAAAGCCTGAGAAAACTTTGATTTCATTTGAAAGGTTTTGGTTAAAATTTCACAGTGCGGATGGTAGCACTGGAAAGGGCTTTAAACTTTCTTGGAATTATGGTAAGATGAAATAAGAACAATTGCGAAATCTTAATTATATTTCTAATTAATTTCAGCTCATTTAAATGATTTAATAAATAAGACTAGAGGATACATTTCGAATCCCCCCGTGAAGATGGTACAAAACGATGAGGAACCCTATGCTTGGCGTATTCTAGTTCCAAGAGGTGAATTCATTCAATTATATTTTCAGGAATATAATAAAGGACTAAATGTGAGTAGAAATGTAAAATAGACATTGTTCAAGTGAATAAACATTCATCTGTCATTTCTTACAGCTATATGATGGATTTGATGAAACAGCACTTTTGATAGATATTCCTTTATCTCCTTGGCGTTTTGTATCAAGTTCGAACGTAGTCTATCTGCGAACGGACAATGACAATTTCGAAACATTTTCTATATTATGGAATACTACAACGAACAAACCTATTGATACCAATGCAACACTTGATAAATGTCATTCTGAACAATCTATAAAAGTCCATCGTTTTAATGCCATTCGAGTTGTTTCTCCTGGCTACCCCAAGGGCTATGAGCATGGTCTACGTTGCGATTGGATATTTAAACCATTTAATCCTATAGAACATGTCGCAGTAGCTCTGATTGATGTTGACTTAGAAACTACAGGGGACTGCTCAGCAGATTATTTAAAAATTTCCACATCCGTCGACTTAGTGTCTTGGCATAAAAATGAACAGTTATGTAATGGTTCCAGTGTTAGCAAAATGTCTCACGGAACACCATTCAAATGGGTTCATGGTACACCACATATTAAATTGGATTTTGTTACGGACATGTCCATTAATCGTACCGGATTTCTAGCTAAAGTTGTTGCCAAATGTGGATCAAATATGACGGACTCAGTTGGCTTTATAGGTGGTAACATGCTGCATGATTTTAATGATGGTCCAAATACTCAGTGTCTTTGGCATGTCAATGTTAAGCCGGGTAAGCGTATACGCGTACAAATTGATTATCCAAAGGTTGCGCTGAACAAAGAAGATTTCGATGAAGAGTGTAATACACATGTCTTGCTTTATGATGGAGTCGATGACCACGCTCCACTCATACCACCTGGTAAATTATGCTATCCACAAAATGTCACGACGATTCATGTTAATACCTCCAGTAATCATTTGACCATCAAATATACACTTAATATGGACAAAGTAAGTCCAAAACTTACACGGGCTTTGTTCTGGAATCTTACATATCGCGAATATTCCGAATGTAGTCAGGAAATACGTTTAATACCTGAAGCTTCAGAAATTAATATAACTTCGCCGTTGTATCCCAATGTGCCACATCCCCATACAGAGTGCGAATGGCGTGTAGTAGCACCTCAAGGAGAAATTATTCAAATTGAGTTCTTAGAACGTTTTGATATGAATTCGAGATATTGTTCACAGGAATATTTAGAACTTTTTGATGGTTCCACGAGTTTGTCGCGAAATATTGGGCGTTACTGTCGAAAACCTCCTAACTTAAGAACAACACAGAATATGTTGTACATACACTATCTGACAGACATAGCAGAACCTCGAAATGGCTTCAAAGCGCGAATTTCAATTAGTCGATGCGGTGGTACTTATTCTGAAAACTATGGCACTATTAAATCACCCGGATACCCAGCATCATATCCTTCTTCTTCACAGTGTGATTTTGTTATAAATTTAACTGGCAAAAACCTAATTCGTATAAAACTCATTGATATTAATCTGCCTTATAATGAAACTAAACTCAGCTCATCCGATCATTTGGAAATTATTTCCATTGGTGGTCCCGATACAAATAGTCAATCCATAATGGTTTATGGAAATACTACGAACAGTACCGAATTTTTGATTAATTCAAATAAAGTTGTAGTTCGATTCCATACATTCTTGAAAACGTTTGCTTTTAGAGGATTTTCATTGATATACAATTCAGATGGTTCATATTGTGCTAATGTCGTAACAGGCGTTTCTGGTGAGATCATCATGAATCTTCCCGCTAAACAATATTACCAAAATACATGCACCTGGAAGATAACGGTTCCCAAAAAACAAAGAGTTCGTTTAGACTTTTTGAATATGGAAGCAATGAAGGATCAGAATTTTTCAAGGTAAATAATGAAAATTACTTTAAATGTTTGCAATCTCAAACTAATAAATATAATTTCATTATTTTTTAGTTCTCTTCGTATTTCCCTAAACAACAACTTCGATTATAGTTCGGAAATTATAACATTTACACCCAGTACATTTAATTCCAGTATGGTTTTACAATCAACTGATAACATTATGTACGTGAGAGTAATTATACCAAGATCTAATTCGATACTGCGACCTTTAAAGGCTCGTTATAGCTCAAAAGAGGAATCACCCTGTCCTTCTGATATTGATGAGGATAACAACTCAGGTTCCATAGACATACCAGGCTTGGAGACAATCTTTAGAGGAAATTTCTATTGTGGAATTAAAATAAAATTGAATGAAGGGGAGACGATAGCTTTTAACATCTCCACGCTTTTAGTTTCGGGCTACAGAGGAATGGGACGTCTGCAATATCCATTGGTATTTAGAGACAGCTATATGAATACACAGTATCGGAACAATCTAACCGAATACATACATGCACAATCCCAAACTAAGGGTTCCATTTCCATCGCTCAAGATGCGGATAACCGCATACAAAGATTAAAAATGTCATTTAGAATATATCCTTGTGGCGGAGTAATCAATGTAAACCCTGGACTGGAAATTAAAACTCCACAAGTAAATACAAATAATAGCGACGGTCAAATCGTATGTGTATGGACTTTACTAAAACCATATTTAGCTTATGGACAGGACAAAAATAAAGAATTCAAACTGAACGGTACATTTAAATTTACAGACTCCTGTGAAAATGAGTATGTTGAAATTGTTGAGGGCCAGTGGATGAACCGTACCTCAGCCATGAAGATATGCAGAGACCATTCCATTGAAAACTTTGAATATTTAATATCCAAACGTACAACCTTCCTTATATACAGATCCACCAATTATAAATCGGAAAAATTGACTTTTTCATTGAATATAGAGAAGATTTTTACATGCTCAAGTGAAACCATGGTCAATATGATCTCTTCCCCCATTAAGATTGATAAGACTTTATATAAAAACAATGAAGAGTGCTCTTGGATATTCTATACTAAACCGGGTCTATATCTACAAGTGCAATTTATAGGCAGATTCTTTATTGAGAATTCACCGAACTGTACGAACGACTATCTAGAAATTCAACGCGACAGTGATGGCCTGTGGATACCAGAGGCCCGTTTCTGTGGACGGGAGGTGCCAGCGATATACAATTCATCAGCAAGTCGCCTGCAGATAATATTTCGTACAAATGAAAATGTTACAACAGAAGGTTTTGAATTTGTTGTTCAAACACATTGTCAACTACAGTTGAATGTTTCATCATCACAACCGCAATTCATTGTGAGTCCACCGAACAACGTACAAAGTTGGCGTAAACTTCATTGCGAATACATATTCAAAGGCAATGAAACCGATAAACTAATAGTTGTCAGAGCGAAGTTTGATCCTAAACACGATCTGGTTTATACACAAGATCGTTGTAGGTTGGGTGCATTAACAGTCAACAAACAAGATGATAACGGTGTTGACCTAGTGGGAACTCAACATTGTCAGATTGAATTCGAAGAGAGAGCATACAAATATCTTAGATTTGTTTATGATGCCTACGTAGGACAAAGATTCACCTTGGAATATGCTTACGACACATGTGGTGGTAATTTAACAGCACCTGCTGTCATCCGACCCCTAAAACATGAAACAGAAAGTACTTATGCCAATAATATGAATTGCATCTGGTATATAACAGCACCTCCTGAACACTCCATCGCTGTTAGATTTAAATATTTTTCCACTGAAGAGACGTACGATCATCTTACGATATACAGCGGTATTCAAATTAAAAAGGAAAAACTTATTGCCAAGTTAAGCGGAAACTACTCTGCCAATATTCCCATTGTTGTCGAAAGTAACCAGGCTGTTATAAATGCCATATCGGATAGCTCAGGTTCCAGAAAGGGATTTGAAGCTAATATAGTATTTATAGCAAATTGCAATGAACGCATTTCACTCACCGAAGGTAATTCTCCGGTAACATTGGCCCGCAATATAAAATTCAATTCCAGTGAGGAGTACATATGCAATTACCGTATAACCGCTCCCAAGGATTATCGCATACGAGTCGAGATTAAAAAGTTACAAATAAATGGCGCCAATTCAACATGTCAAAATTCACAATCAAAATGCGAAAATAATTGCAATTATTTGGAAATTTTTGACAACCCCACCACATATGATGCAACTTTTGGTAAATTTTGCTCCGTCTCCAGTATAAATAGAACCTTTTTGAGTTCTTATGAATTTGCTTCTCTGAAACTGAATGCTGACCGACCGGGTCAATATAATTTTGAAATAATTCTTAAAATGGAAAAGTCAGAATGTGGTCTAACTGAATATAGACTGGGTGACAATGAAGTGAGTAAATTAATGATACTTGTATATGCATATTTTAAGTTCTTCAACTTTTCTTGCAGAAATATAAATTCACTTTTCCTCCCAATGGATTAGCAAAATACGCAGCGAATGTGCATTGTACTTGGCGTTTAATTTCCTCCCACGAATTGGAATTCCATTTTAACTATATGGACTTGCAAAATAAATCACAGGTCACTAACAAATGTTTGGATTACGTTAACATTAAAGGCACATATGTATGTTAGACATTTTATAAATAGTACTAGACAAAACGATTGACAACATTTTGATTTCTTACAGCATTTACATAATTTATGTGGTCTCGCTAAGAATTTCACAATTAATACTATCAAAAGTCATGAAGATTTCGTGGACATAACATTCCACAGTGATGACTCAGAGGAAGGCAAAGGTTTCGAATTTGTTGTACAAAGATCTGATGGTGAGAATGATGAAAAAATATTAATTAATTTGAAATAATGAACACTTTATATTATTTTATTTTCTATAAAATAATAGCTTGCAATCGCACTTACAATTCCTTAAGTAAGAGTATACAGTATCGGGGCTATGGAAAGGAGAAAGAAATCTGTATCGATACCATTATAGTGCCAGAGAATTATACATTGAATTTTTACATAACTTCAATGTATTTTAAAAATTATGACTGCGAAAAGTTACATTTAAAGGTAGTATTTATTTTAAATTTTAAGAACGAATTTTAGTAACAAGTAATGCAAATTTTCAATTTCAGATAATTGATCTCAAAACAAATGAAACTTTGATGGATCGTTGTAGAAGTTCATATTTAAATGTTAACTTATTTACTAACACAAATGCCGTACGCATTGAGGCAGCCGATTATACTTCGGTAGCCTTTCTATATTCTGTAAGCGATCGCAATTTAACTCCTGGATGTGGTGGTACTTTTACAGCAAATGAGGCACAATTCGCCAGTCCTCCTTATGACAATGATCGCAACTTTTCGGAATGTCGTTGGGATATTATTACGCCGGCATCTGGTCAAAAAAGTTTACAATTTTATGGTAAATATCAGATACTAAATTTCTAATCACAACTGAGATCAATTAAATCCGGGTTACTGCGCCGAATGTTGGTTGGACATTCATGACGAAATTATTTATATTAATGTCTTATTTATATAGTTTGAATAATATATTTTTTTCTCTTGCAGATTTTAATATGGGAACAATTACTAATTGTCATTTGGATAATGTTAAAATTATTGAAATTTTACCCAATGGCACTGAAAAACTATTAAAAACAGTATGCGGATCTAATACACCTGATGCCATAAGATCGAATAGTTCCCATTTAGCAATCATTTCCAAGAAATCACCCAATTTTGATGGTACTGGCTGGACGTTGAGCTACACCACATTTAATTATGAAACGCCAAAAACAGCACTTGTTGTCAGTGATCATCAGATGCGGCTAGTATAAATTCTTAAAGAAATTTTGAATAATATTGGATTTAATTGCAATAGCCCCTAGGCTTTCCAAAACGTCTATTTAAAAAGTTGTAGTCAATATTTGCAAGTTTTTCTTTTTGTGAGTAAAATAATGTAGTATGTAGTGTATGTATGTATATGTCCCCTACTTAATATGCATCTGCAATAACATTTTATGCACATACATGATAAGCAGTACATATTACTTTGTAAGGAAACATGTAGTATTTTTTAAATGACTAACATTTTTTTATTTATTAATTTCTTATTGTTTCTTTTCTCAATATAAGTGACAAATAAATAATTTATTTATAAACTTTATAACAATTTCATTATGATTAATAATTAAATTAGGAATATAAATAAATAATTACAGGATCAAAATAAATACATATTTACATTAAAACGAAATTAAAAGAAAATTATTATACACAAGAGATAAATTAAAAATATATTTAAATATTTTTATCATTTTTGTTTAATCACATTTTGGGAATTATATACGATTTTAAATATAATATAGTTTTTTATTAAAGTTACTTCAATTGTTTAAACTTTAAAGTAAACTACAATTTACTTTGGTTGTGCTAGATTTTAGTGTAATAATAATTTAACTTAAAATCCTTTTACAATTTTTGTGGTTCTTTTAAAAAAACTACTTGCTAAAATTGCCTCCGTTTCATGTTTTGAATTATTCTTTTTTTAAATATTACTTGCTAATAAATTCGTAAAATATTTTGTTTAAATTTGTTTGTTTGTGCCTCGAAGTTTAAACTATTTTTTTAAGATTCACCTTGAAAATAGGAGTTCTGCATGAGATATAATTTGTCAATGGGATTAATAAGGCTGTTATTTAAATTGGCTAATATATCTTGAGGGTTGGAGTTGTGATGATGACCCGATGACGAGGAAGATTGCAGTTCTAAATTGTTAAGAGATAATGAGTCGGCATCATCATCTAAATGATCAAAATTACTGCCATCTAGAGACAAATCTGAACTGCAAAAACTATCATTTGAATTGGCGGGGTAATCTATAAAGAAAGGAAGAACACATATTTTATATATATTTTTAAGGAGATGAAAAGTGAGAGAAACTTACCATCTGGTGAGAAGGGTAGATTTGGATTTAGTGGCTGTGTGGCATATGAACTATCCATGCCCAAATAACCATTTTCACTACCCGAACCAGAGCCACCCTCCTGTTTAATACCCTCCTTATCCAGTTTATCCTTATCTTTATCATCTCCTCCATTAGCGCCACCACCGCGATTATTCTTAGCCTTACGTTGTATTTTCTTCATTTTGGCTCTTTGATTTTGAAACCAAACTTGCACCACTCTCACCGACAGTCCAGTGTCTTTGGCTAAAGCTTCTCTTACTTTACGACAGGGTTTGGGTGATTGTTCAAATGAGGCCTTAAACTGTTTGCGCTGTTGTGAAGTCAATATTGTTCTCGGTCTCTTGGGTCCTCTACGACCATCTCGTGGTCTCATTAGATCATCTTCATCTAAACCCATATAGCCACAATGTTGGGCGGCAGCCGCTAAAAACATTTCCTTTTCCAAATCATGTCTGAAACATATTATTTGGCCATCACGCAAGAGAAATTGTTCTCCTTTTTGTAGGGGTATGCGACAGGCCACACAGACAAAACAGGATAAATGAAATATTAAATTGGGCAGGGGACGCATGACCATGTCTTGAGGCAATATGGGATGACAGCAAGCGGCACATTTAAATGAAAATAATCTGTCAAGTAAAAAAATAAATAAATTTTGCTGATGATATTTTTGTTGTTTCATTTTAAATGAGTTAAATGAGTGTTAAAATAAACTCGAAAGTGAGTAAAAGAAAAAATCTTAAAGAAAATCTGTGTACATTTTAAAAACTGAGTGTTTATAAAATAAATTAATTTTAATATAATTTCTTTTAGATATTTTAAATAAAATTTTATTTTTTTAACCTTACCTTTCATAATCCATTTTACAATACAGTTTGCCATTGCGCATATAACAAGTCTGATGCAGTTGCATACCACAATAGCAACAGGCCAAACAATTTTCATGCCAATTCGTATCGCCCACATTCATAAGATAACGATCGTGAATTTTTTGTCCACAACCCTCACAAACTTCAAAATTTTTCTCGCATTTTATTTGATCGACACCTTAAATGTAAATTAGATAACAAAATAAATTAATAAAAAATTTTAATAAGAATCAAATTATGTATTTTAAAATCATAAACAAATGAAAGCATTTGAATTTTTAAAAGAGTGACTGTTATCCATATTTTCATTGTTTTTATTTATTTTTCGATTTTGTTTTATTTTTTAATGTGTGTGATAGATTTTGTTGCCACAAATTCAAATATGATTTACTAAGCATATCAATAAATCGCTTTTAGTTTTGTTTTTGTGTTTTTATGGTTGTTATTGTTGTTGGTTTGATAGAATTTCACTTCAATAAAAATGCGCTTTTTTACTATGAATTTTATTGCACACACCATGTTTCTGAAGTGTTTTTATGTGTGTGTTGTCTTACCCTTAAGTTCGGTGTAACTGTCTCCTTTTTTCAAATTATTATTCTTGGTTATTAAATTATTTATCCTAACAGAAAGTCATTTCACTACACTCTACCTTGATTAGAAATGGATTAAAAACTCCTCCATATATTAGTTATATTGAGTTGAATAACTACTTTTTAAGTTACAGTACAGAAAGTAGCCTTCAAGTGGCTACTCTCTAGTTTACTTAGGGACACTGGAGTAGTATAACTTTCTTTATGCTTTACAAAGACTACAATACTTGTCAAATATTTCAATTCATAAAAATTTAAGACAACCTTGCAGTTAGAAATGTGTGACAAAATACTGTATAAAAATGATACATTGGACTCCTAGCAAAACTGTTGGTTATTTTTCTAAACGTATAACACACACATAAATCAAAATGGCAAAGACTCTTGAGCTCGTATTTTACAGTTAAGCCCCTTCTAATACTAGAGAAGTTCTCTTTTTTATTTGTTTTTGTATATATTTTATTTTGTTAGTATACAAAAGCTGTTGGCCCCTCTAACCATTCTATAGCCACCTTAGCCCTTCTCTCCTATTCTTTTTGTGCAGATTCTACTAACTCTCATATATTTTATTTTTACAAGTGTGTGTATGAAGTTTATACTCATACAAGTACTTCTGAGTGTAGTTGCACTTGTTGGTTTGGTTTTTGGTGTTTTAACAACCCAATAAATCATTTAAGCATAAGTTATTCTTTTACATACATACTTATGTAAATATTTTTAGCTTAGCAATTGTATTTATTTATCTGGGAAAACTTTCATTTCAAAGGAAGTTTTTCTATACAAATATCTTATCTTGTACACAAATTAAGATTTTGTAAAATATTAATCATACTACTCGAAGTCCACTATATTCAAACAAATTTTAAAGCAGATTTTAACAAGTAATTTTAAAATATTATGTTTCAGTTTATTACTTCTAAAAGATTAAATTTCAGTTGCCTGTCTGATATAATAATTGAAGATTTTGTTTCCGAAGATATCTGGAATTTTCAAAAACTTGATTTCAACAAACAGACGGACAGACAGACAGAACTTAGCTTAATCAAGTCTGCCATCTATACGGTTCCAGAATATATGTATATTCTTTATAGGTACGGAAAACTCGTGTGTCCTAAGTGTTAAATTATTATTAAAATTATTTGTTGGGTTTACAAAAGTCTAGTATAAAGTGTTATGTCTTTTTTGTTTGTTGGTATTTGTTTTATGGTTTATTCTTGTTTTGTAAGTAGATTTCAGTTAGATTTTTTTATAAAACTTATTGTTTCGCTTTTAAACTGAAAGGTTAATTTAAAATTATATTTTTATATATATGTATATATTTTTTTATTTATCGACAATTTTAAAGTAATATTTTATTTACAAAAAATTATGCAGTTTAAAAAAATTGATTTGTATTTTATTTCAGTTACTTATCATCACGCAGTCATTCAGTCATTGCAGTCGTCACAAACAGATGTTGACAGTAAATAAAAAGATGACTGTTTTTTAAGGGTCTTGAAATGAAAACAAAGTACTTTTTTCAGGGGGAATAGAAATTGTTAATAAATACTTGTAACAAATGTACATAAAATCATAACGCGCGATTTGTTGCTTTATATATGCATGTGTTTTTAGATGTTTTAGTATCTTTGCCCGGAACAAACCATTATGGAATGGCAACGTAAGATATGTATTTGAAATAATATAATTGAGTGACATTTGTATATCAATTTGAATGACATGTTTATCAGTAAAAACTAAATAAACAAATACGTTTGTATTAAAAAGGTATTTGCCATTATTTTACTAAACAGTAGTAAAATTATAAAATTTTAAAGGAAATAAATATGACAATTTAAGATAAATTTAAAGTGTTTTGAATCTCTTTAAACTGTTTGAAAGGTAAGTAATCTTGCATATAATAATTATAGTAACAAACATTTGATAACTATAATTACAGATTTAATTAATTGTATTAACAAGGTTATACAGTTTTGAATATTTCTCTACAAGGATTTTAGTTAAACTAGTTTTTTTTATTACTTAAAATTCCTTTTTTTTTCTTTACACTCCTCCAGAGAGAGTTAGAGCTTTTTTAAAAATAGTTTTTTTTTTTGTTTAAAATATTTTATTTTAAATACAAAAAAAAGTTTTTTTTGTAACAAATATGCTTGTTTGCTGTTCTTTTTTGCTTTTTTTAATTTAACATTTTTACAATTTTTACAACTTCTGTTTGCACTTCCGTTTTATAGGAATAACACAGCAAATGCAAACAGATAGATATACAAATGCTAAAAACTTACACACCCACAAAAACACAGAATACATTCAATACTGTTTAGACGCTTAAATCCAGCGGTTTAATAAGGAGTTAATGTAGCAAATTATACTATATTTAGTGTTGCTAAATAATCTAGACAGAAGGAAATCTTTTTCGCACTAAGCAGTAATCTACTAAAGAGTCGATTGTCCTTTTGAAAATTAAGACTTTTTCTTGGCTCGAGACAGCCTCTCCGAACTGTAGAGAGATTTAAAACTCAACTACCCTACAAAAATTCGAAAAAACCGTATATAAAGTATGTGGTGTAGTTCAATATTATTATCTAAAGTTTAATAAAAATTTGTATGTTATACTTTTTCCACATTTCTCTTTATACAAGAGTGAGTGTTTTTTAGAAACAACAATAAATATATTGTTGATTTTGTTGTATATTTGGGTTTTCAAATATATTTTCAGGGCTTTTTGTAAAAAATGCTTAAGGATTTCCGTTAATGTTTCTTTTTTCAATTTAAATATTGATATACATAAGTACATATGTATATATGTATTGATTGATTATGTGTTTTTTGTTATTTATATACTATAGAAATCTTCTTCTTTATTTCATTATTCTTCTTTTAAATTATTAAAAATAATTTATGAAAATTATTTTAGTTTTAATTAAATAGTGAAAAACACTTGATTTAGTTTATTAACACAAATCATTATTCTACAAAATAATATTATTAAAAATATTTATCTCTAACAACAAATACCTTCAATACATATTACAAATAGTAGCAAAATATGTACATATGTATGTATGTGTGTTTATTTGTATTATATAAATTCATTTAAATTTTAATATTTTAATAATTTTATAAGGAATTTCAAAAATTTATAAACACCATGAAATGTAAATGTATTGGATTAAGTGATTGTATGTGTGATTTTTATCTGTGTATATTCCTAGTAGATGCGTGAGTGTATGAATAAAATTTAAAATATTGTTTTAACAAATAAAATATTGTATTAGTTTAGTTTTTACTTAACAATTTATTTGCATTTATGTTTTTTTTTGGCAATGAACCTGAAAAATTCTGTTGTTATAAATAAATTTAATATACATATTAACAGTATAGTCTGGATTAAAATGTTGTTAGATATTATTCATATATCCTAGTAAAAATTTTAGAATTTGTTTTCTAAAACGTTTGCAAACAGAACTACTTCAGATAAGTGATAAGTGTGGGAATCCTATCTTTGTAACATTCTAAAGTACTTCTGAAGAGGTTTCAAAGAACTATCCAGCAAAAACTGTGTAATGGCTTTCAATTGTAATTACTTACCTAACAACAGACTTTTCAATGACTACTACATATCGTCTGGATTACATAGAAGTAATCTAATAATGTCTTACTAATAATGTGTTTTATAAATACTTTCTAATTAATTAGTCATCTTGCCAGTGAAGATATAGAAGCTGTATACGTTTTCTCATGCGATTTACAATTAATTCATTTTCTAATTACTTTTAATCGTTTGTGGCAAGTACTTGCCTCCAGTGACATCACCGTGTTAAAATAATGACTTAAAATGCTAATGTGTAAGTAAATTTTAGCATTTTAACCCCTTACATGGTAATGAAAGTTTTTACTGGGTAGATTCAATGGAACAAATATTAGTTCCGAAACATCTTCTTGAACCGAATTTAAAAAGGGCAAAAGTTAAGTTTTTTTTTAAGATATTTAAAGAATTTGCAATGATAATTCATCAACTGTTTTTCAAAATTGGTACCATTTTTAGCTTGCACTAGTTCCAAAACTGATACATATTCTATATATTTGATTAAAGGTCTGGTTTCAGAACCGTTCCATAACTCTTTCACAAAACTACATATGTAGTTCCGAAGGTGAAAAATTATTGGCCTTAAAACCAAAATAGAACGAGAGAAGGCTATAATCATGGGTTCTGGAAGTAGTTAGGGAATTAATAGAATTTTTCTTGGCATACTTTAATTTTAATTCAAAATGATTTATTGACCCAAACTAAAAAAATTATTTATGGATAAGATCTGAAAGCTTGAAGCATGTCCTAGATTAGAAAACTTTATTGAACAGAAATTATATTGTTATTCCGTTTGCTGCAAGTAGTCACTAGATTGTTACGACAGCAAAAGGTATTTTTACAGTGATTATAATAAAAAGTCTTCGATTTATGGTGCCCATGTATGTAAATATAAGGGCAATTTCGTGTACCCCCTCTAACTTGACCGATCTGATCTACCAATAGTACTAACTTTGGTGCAAATTTCATCCAAATCGATTTTTAGAGTTGGGTCACTTGACACGAAATTGCCCATATAAAAAAACTGTCAGCATCCTTCCCTTACCGTACATAAATTAATAAATTAAATTATGGAAATTTAAACATTTCTAATATTGAACAAGTTATTATATTTGTAGTTATTGTATATAACTGCTGCTATCTAAATAAATTTATAGAAATTTCACCGTATTTATGAAATATTTGAATAAAATGTCTAAAATTATTAAACAATTTGGTAACAAAATGCCATGCACTTAGTGAAATATGTGTGTGTGTATGCATGTGCGAATATCAAAATGTTTGTGTGGAAATGTGTACAAGTGTTGAATATACAATAATGTCCTTTTTAGAAATAGACAAAAACACACTAACAAATATCAGAAATAGTCAGAATATAACACATAACTAGACATCATGCTCAAACATGTTAAGCAAAAATTTGCAAAACCAAAAGTTTTAGCAGTTTAAGGAGTCAAAATGTAAAACTTAAGAAATTTTAAATCATGGACTATGGTAAAATAATCGATGTAAAGAAATTTATTGCTTTAATAAAAGATTTTGTAAATAAAACAAAATATTTATGTAAAGCAGTAGAGAGAGTCATTTGTTTGTTAGCAACTGTGTTTTTTTATTTTTAGACATTCATTTTAACAATATCATTGCTATTCTGTTATCTTTAACAAATTATTTCGATATTCGCCAAAAATTGCTACCATCTGACATTTATCACAAATTTCTATCAAATTAACCAAAATTTGACTACTGATTGACAGTTTCATTGAAAGTGTGATTTGAAGAATAGGAGACAAATAAATATCAAAAAAAAGCCTTTTAATATTTTATTATCATTATTTAGCATAATTTAAGTTATTGACTGTCAGTTATTTGTAAATAAAAGTATTATTAATTTTGAACTATAGTTTTTATATGACTACAATATTTCTACATACATATGTATGTATGTCTATAAAAGTGGCTACATACACACTCTTACATACGTATTTATGTATGTAGATATTTTACACAACTCTCCACAATATATTTTTTGTGTAAATTTATTTGGTTATGTGAAGTATTTGTAGTCCTTATTTTGTTTAACCATAAACTATTTGTTTATTAATCTTATCAAAAGTTTATCAATATATTTTTATAAGTTAAACGTTTAATCGTTTGTTATCTTTTTGTTAACTTTTTTTATACTAAAGTGAAGTGTTTAGTTGGCAAAAAAAATAAATAAAATATGGGAAGGGTTGTAATACTTATTTGATTATTTATCAACATCAACATCATCATGTCAAATATGTAAATACGTTTGTCATATTTCAAGTACTTAAGGTGTAAATAGTATTTTCATCATAAGATACTGATACTTTGTTTTTTGTATGTGTGTATTTTGTTGTTTTTGGAGTTTTGGGGGAGTTAGGGTTAATGCCACATTGTTATTAAAGGCTTTTCAAGTGGATTCGAAGAATTTGAATATGAGTATTTTTTAAGTTTGACATGAAGGTGGGTAATTTATTATAATTATGATAAATATAATAACAGTTTAATAAACTTGAAAACAGATTTTTCCAAAGGTGGATTATCTAAAAATAATTTATTTGTGTTAAATTGCAAACAGTAGAGTGGCATTTAAGATTTATAATTAACAGCACTTTTTTTCCGAAAAGAGGAAATTTGGTTTTTATAACTTATTTATTATGAGATGTTAAATATAAATAATTCCTTCTAAATTTTACATGTTAAAAGAACAAAGTAGTCAGTAGTATTATATATCAATGGATAGGAAAATAAGTCTACTTTTTAGTAATATATAAAAATTTTTGTAAAATTTATCATAAAATTTTGAAAGTTTATTTTACATTTGCTGCAAATTTAAATCTAGGTGGACAAAATTATTTGAGGCACTTGTTTTTGGAATTGATGTCTCTTAATCCAAAGAAAATCGTAAAAAAACTGTGTACCTATTTACAGTAGGGTCTAGATATATGGTCTTGGCGGTTACAATTTTACTGCAGAGACATTCCTCGGAAGTTTCTTTAAGCGATAAATATATTTATTGGAAGAGTTTCGATGTTTTCTTTTGGCAAATTATATAATATTGTAAAATAAAAAATTATATATTTTGAGACCCAAGTTTATGGGACAAAAACGGGACAAAAGTGAGTCTAATGAATATAAAATTTACATTAAGTAAAAGCTGATTCCAATATTTTTATAAGTTTTCAAGTATGGATTTCTATGTGGTAAAATGATGATTCAAAATTTGTTGAACTTCTCACGCTTCTGTCATAAAAACGAAATCACCATTTGCAAAATCCTTTTGCATTGGAGGAGAGCAATTTATATTTATGGTATATTCACACAAATCAAATATTTGGCGGAAAAGATGTAACCACTATTATTTGTAAGTGTCCTTGGTGTAATGAAATATTAAATACTAAATATCGATAGGTAAACTTAAATGTCTCATTAAAGGCCGAATTAACGAAAAGCACAGAAAAAAACGTTTCTTTTCATTTGTTACTAAGTAATTGTAATTTCCTTTGGAAAATATACAAAAAAATCTAGTTTTTTATTGTAAACACCAAACAAATTCTTTGAAATAAATCATTAACACCTACAAAAATTAAATAAAATCCAACTGATGTTTAACTATTCTCCAGCCATTTTAAAAGTATGCCTATCCTTACTAATTCATTATACTGGTTAATAAAATGTTTAACATCTTTGTTAAAAAGTTGTAAGTTGTGTACTTTTATTTTCAAACACCTGGCAAAAGTATTTTGCAAAAATAAATTTTAACCAAGAAAATAAATTAAGGTAGAACATACCAACACCTAAAGTTTTAAACCAAAAAATGTTTAAAGATACCCCAACAACAATAACAACACAAAACTCACAACTTCGTTCAACCTAAAAGATAACAGTTTAAAACGATGCAGTTTTAAATATACAATAAAAAAGGAAACGGGAGGAAATGGCGTAAAATCTGCCTAATTCAAGGTGAAAGAAACAAAATAAAATAAAACTCTAGCAAACTTTTTGGCAACTTTTAACTGTCTGTTAAAAGTCTATGAAAAACTGAGCAGGAGTTAAATGCTACATACAAACTTAAAATAGTAAAAGTTGAACAAAACGAAAAAAAAATAGTCCAAAGCAAAGAAAAGACAAAATGATAAAACTATTTTTGGAGTACATACCTGTGCGTCCATTGCATTCTAAGGATAATTTTGAGCAAGATGAAAGTAGTGTAGCAGAATTTGTACAATTATTAGAGGATGTTGTTGAAGCGTTTGATGTCGCCGAAGATGAGTTGGAGGCAGGAATGGCAGACGTAGAATTCTGTTGAGGTGTAGTTGAACAATTACTAGACGATGACTGCTGCTGGTGCTTGCTGTTACTAATTGCTAAATGTAATGAGGTGGAATTTGAGTTGGCGCCGGATGATAATGAAGAGGAGGAGGTTGTGTTGGAGGTTTCTGGGTTAACATCATTACTTGTAGTCGTAGCAGCTGCTAGACATGACGTTTGTGCTGTTAATGAAGCTATCGAGCAGGTGTTTAAGGAATTATTATGATTTTGTGGCGGACATGCTGCTTGACTAGGTGAGGCAATCATTTGCTGTTGTGAATTTGTCTGCTGCTGTTGTAAGTGTTGCTGGTGATGCTGTTGCTGTTGGTGGGTCATGGTGTTTATATTTTGTGTGGCAGGATTATCCAAAAATCTGGCACCACCATGATTTTGCTGATGAGGATACAATGAAGCGCCATGATTTAAATTTGTAGGCATGGGATAAAATTCCAACATTTTAATAAATTTATTTGTTTTTAAATATTTCGGTTTTTATTTTTATCTTGTATAATTGACTTGTTTCTAACACTAAACTTTTTAATAAATTGTTATATTTTTATTCACTGATACCATTTATAAATGTAATTATTCCTTTTAGGTAATTTTCTTTAAATATTTATTTTTTTTAGTTTTTCTTTATTTGCACAATTTTAAACACTTATTTCGAATAATTTTCGTAAATTTCTTTTTTTCTTTACAATTTTACTCCGCGTCGGCCAGCCGTTTTCATGTACTGTCATTTAACAAATGATCGACAATCAGAAAAATCAAAGCATTTTTACTTCTCAGGCCTCTATTCGGTTTGTGTGCATGTGGTTATAAATGTGTGTGTTTGAAAGTGTATATTTGTCCATTAAACCGACAAAATTCCAATTGCAATGTAAAACCTCAACTAGAATTCAACCCTCTCAGCCAAAAAAAAAAATACAATTGTTGTTGTCATTTCTTTTCCATTTGTGTCCCTTTGATGAAAATATAGTCCACAATATAAACACTCAATTGTGAGTGAGTGCTCTCAAAAATATCCCTAAAATATACACAACCCTCCGATTAAATAAGGGTTTTGGATTTTCTCTTTTTTCATTCATGCGCAATGATTTCACTCAAATAATTTATATTTTCCCCTTTTACTTCAGTGCACTCTTTTTTTGTGCTTCTTCAAAGTAGTACCTTTTGGATTTAGAAGATAATCCATTGAAAACTAAATTACATTAAATATCTCCTATACATTGTTGTTATTTTGTACACATTATGACGATCACTTTAAAATTTACTAAATTTTTTTCTAAGATCCAAAATTAAATGAATAAATCTGAGAAATTTTACCAAGGTTGGAACCGTTATCAATAAGCTATCGTTACCGCAAAAATACCTTTTCAGCACTACTATCGATGCCGCTAAAATACCGTTCCCACAGCTTTTTACTTCACTAACGCCTTGAGGAATTTTTTGAATTTCGCGGACCCCCATACATATTTTCATATCTAATTGTTCTAAATGATCGTTCGCATGTTCTTCACCTAGTCCATAAATCCCGCTGATCGATAATATGCATTTAATATTTCAGACAGATTTCAGTTGTAGAGTTTTTAAGATAGAATGACTTCTTTAATGAAATGTTACAGCATGTTAACGTTAATTTTATGTTCATGAGTACTTTAATTGTCTCGTTAATTTCACGTCAAGGTAGCGAAAAGGTTTCTTTATCACGTTTTGCCGACTACGACAATATGTTACGATTGCAGAGGGGTGAGCTGAGTATTTAAGGTAATGTGTCTCCAAAGTTTTCGGGAAAATAATATAAGAAAGTTGGACTTCATCGACGTTGTTGCGGTGTGCGTTATCTAGACAACACTTACTTTTTGACAAACTTAAATCTGGGATAAGCTAAGGCCTAAAACTTTATATTCTGGGAAACAAGTATCCCTTTTAAACAGCAGAACATTATCGGTCTGAAATATAAACCTTTAGTTCAGTGCATATCAAGGAAATTAAAATTACAAATAACGTAATGAAAATTATAAAACTTTACTTTATAAATTTGGTACAATAAACACGCTCTGGAGGCGTGGACCATGAAAACACAAAGTGCTTCTTGGGAAGTCAGCTTAAACTGGTCACTGAAGAGTTGTATTTTCAGACAGTAAATAGGTTTTGCCATCAACCGGGCATGGTGTACTGGACCTGGAGATCTGTAGCGCACATATTTTCCGTCGATATATCAACGCCAACTGTAACAGCTCTTTATAGTCGTCTCTTGTTCTTCTATGATATTCTCTACTTCTTCTTTGGGCAGTAGTTCCAAAACATTTTCGCCTAAATCGAACTTTGATTTATTAATCGACGACCCCTCTCAACATGACTTCTAAAACGTGGTGCCGGCAAGCTCTCGACCTAACATCTGCTCCAGGAGATTGCACGCTCCATTGAGTCTCCCAATATTTGATGCTGTTGTATCGAAGCACATAGCTACGACCGAGCTGGCGAGACCCCATTCCTCTAGACACTCGTACACTGATAGGGACTGTTCCTCACTGAAGTACTGTCATTTTCAGGAACCAGGGGTGATATCAGATACCTGGTAGTAGTTTTCTATCCCAGTGCACGCAAACAGCCTCGTTTTGGGGTAGCTTAAGTCTGCCCAATACATTTTTAAACTAGTTTGGTTTTACCTGCTTGGGGTCCCCAGTGATACAGTAGGAGAAAAAAATAGACATAAAAAACATTATTGTGGGTCTAAAATTAACGATATGGCATAGCAAAAAGTATTTGTCCTTAATAAGCAATAATAATACAAATAACGCATATTCGCTCTCAGGGGTACCTAGTCACGTTTTTAGGGACATTAGGTCTTTTTTCGGTTTCAGTACTAGTTGCAGTATGGTCTTTAATTTGATGTATAACATGGACAAATAGGTTTAGAAGTTCCAGAGATATGGGTCGCCTAACTGCCAAAATATCGAGATTTTCAAAACTTTGAGGACCCAGTGGCACGGGTTAACATCTTCCAATTGTGCTCAAATTTTGGCAATCCTAAAATCTGCAAGAAAGAAACATTTTAGGGGGGTTCCCCCAAAAAAAATTTTGCCATATGAGATAAAACCACCGTAATGTGTTTTGTGCTGCATTTATTGAAAATTTATTTTTCAACATAATTTATTTCACCACAAATACAATACACCATCGTAAGTTAAATAGATATAACTTTCAATTAAAAATTTTCAAATTCTCAAAGTACTTTTCTAAGCAAATAAAGTACTTTTTACTTAAATCTCACTACAATTGAGTTAAATTACTCAAGCACATGTTTACTTTGAAGATTTCAATTTAATGCTCTCATTAGAGAGGACACACCTTTCTTTATTTTGATTGGTTGTTTTTTTGCTTTTGCTGAGTATTCCCCTGTTGCAATACACTTAACTGTAATTCACCATTAAACACACCATTTTTCTAAAGTGCTCATGTGTGTTGTTGTTGTAGTTGTTTTTTTTATATGTGTTTAATTTCCTTTTGAGCATGTCCCTCAATTGTATGTTGACGACAGACGACACAATAATAATAATGCACAACAAACAAACGACTACAACAAAAACGAGTGCAATAAGTACAAAAACAATAACAACAACTAAAAGTAAAGGAAGAAAAAGAAAGCAAAAACCAGTTTTAGTTAAAAATTTGAATTTTGTTTATTTGTTGGGTTTATGCTTCACTGAATTTTTAATGGGCATTGGTTCGGGTTCTTTTGGTTTTTTCATTCGCATTCATTCAAGCATTTGTATAACAAGATCGTACTTTAAACGTTTTTTGTTTAATTTATATTTCTTTTTTCAAAATACAAACAATAAAGAAAAAAACTAAGTTTAACTTTTACAAACGACATTTGAGTATGTCATCATCATTGTCATTTAGTATCCTTGTGTTTGCATTGTTGTTGTTGCTGTTTGACATTATTTCTTTACTGGACATTGGCTGTTGTTGTTGGTTTTATAAACTTTTTACAAAGTAAAGGAAGTTTGTGAACGAACAAAAGAAAAAAAAAAAAAAAAACTATGTTAAAATAAAATGGTGGCCTTGCTTTAGTTTCATCTTGTTTTTTTTTAATCTTCTTTATCTTTTGACTTTTTTCTTCTTGAAAGTTTTTCTTATTTTATTTGTTTTACTGTTTTTTGTTGTTGTTATTTTTTTATTTGTTTATTTATTTTTGCGGCTGTATGCTTGAGAGGCATCCAAAAAGATAAAAATGGAACAACAAAAACAAACTAAGAAAATATCCTCAAGTAGGACTTAAATTTGCTGTGAGAAAAACAGGGTCACAGGATTATTACATATGACAGTTCAAATAAAATTGTTGTTCTCTGGAAAAACAGTATATTTTAAAGTCTATGAGAAAGAGATTTTTCTGTAGGAAAGCTATGTCTAGAGACAGTTTTTCCTTTGAAAAATTGCCTATATTAAACATATATTTTCTATAAAAAAATTCACGATTATAAGTATTTCTAGAAAAAGTTTTTATTTAAACCAAATACAAATAAAGAAAAACTCTTTGTTTAACTGAATAAAAACTCTCTTCATAGAAAGTTTTTCTATAGAAAAATTTCGTTTAATGTAGACAGTTTTGTATGGAAAAACTCTATTTAACTCTGAAAATTTTTCTAAAGAAAACTTCCTTTGGTAAAGAAGTTTTTTCTATAGAAATCTATATTTTGTGTAGAAAACTTGTCTCTATGTATCCATTATATGACTTTTTTCTATAGAAAAACTGTATATAGATATTAAATTAAATTTTCTCTAGAAAATCTATCTGTATAGAAAGTTTTTCTTTTTTGTTTAATGGAGACAGATTTTCTATATAAAACTTCCGTTGGAAAAATTTTTCTATAGAAAAAAATCTCTATTAAAGGAATAATCACTGTAGAAAAACGGTCTCTATTATTGAATATTTTTTTAAAGACAAATTGTCTCTATTACACTTTTTATTGACGTTTTCTTTAGAAAACGATATTTTATTGAAGAACTATATTTATTAAAGAGAGTTTTTCTATAAATACTCTGCTATAGAGTTTCAAATTTTGCGAATTTTTAGACTTTTTTCTAGGCACCCTGTTTGCAAAAAAACTGTTCTAACAAGAAACTTTATTTTTTCCCCCAAAAAGAAATAATAAAACAAGTAGAAAAGAAAAAAACGTTTGTGCATGTGTACACTGTGAAAACGGAAGCTCAAAAGACAAACCAAACATGGCGTACTTCAAAAAGTAAGGGAAAAAACGTTTTTCTTACTACGTCTTTTTTTATAATATTTTGTGCCATGTTCTGTGGATTTTTTTAGTCGTCGATTTTTTTTTTTCGTACAGGAGCAAGTAGTATACATATGTACGTATGTATGTGTATTATGATGTGTCACCGTTTGAGTGTACTAGTGAATGTTTGCTCGAGAACTTTTTATTTGTATTTGATATGCAATACTAGTTCAAATAGTAAAAGTCAGCCGACAGTGGGGTCATTCTGAAGAGATGGATAAACTGAAAAATGCTGTAGAGTCCACGGACGCTTTCTGACACTTGAAATGGTATTCAAAATCGGTTGTAGTCCATATCGCTTAAAAAATATTAATAACCGAACTTTAGGTTAGTTTAGGTTAGGTTGATAGGAGTATGTATACTACATCAAATCCGAAGAAATACACCTAGGCCACTATCGGCCTGTTGTGCGCTCCTTATCATGAAAAAAAGGGAACTGAATGAATTATTTTTCA